ATTTTTATTATGATAATAATAAAATAAATAATGTATATATACAAATTAAATAAATAATATATATATATATATATATATTTATATATATATATATGTGTCTTATTTATTTTAATAATTAAAAAATAAATATTAATTTTATACTAATTATAATATGAAATTTTATTTTTTTCTTTAATTAAATAAAAAATTATATTTTTTATTATCGAAAATAATTTTATTTCTTATATATAAAACACATAAAACATAATTATTATATTTATTTTTATATATATACTTTTATTTATTAAAAAAAAATAAAAATATATAAAAAGATTATAAATTATTTTTTTTTAATAAAAAAAAAACTTAATAACAACTTTATTATTTAATATAAAAAACAAAACTTAATAAAAAAAATAAATACAATTTTTTTTATCAAGTTCATTTTTAAGACTATTATTAATTTAATTAATTCTATTGTGCAGCAAGAACTAAATATAAATTAAATTTTTTTTTAAAAAAAAATACATTAAGGTGGTATTTAACCAATATTTAAAGGAGGTTAATTTGAAGATTATTATTATACAGGCCACATTGGATAAAGTTAACTATTTATAAAAATATTTACAAAAATAAAAAAAATTACTTCATCATTAATTATTATAATTCTTAAGGATTAGCATTAGGCATATTAGGAATATTAGAAATATTAGAAATATTAGGAATATTAGAAATATTAGGTATATTAGTCATATTAGGCATATTTTGCATATTTTGCATATTTTGCATATTTTGCATATTAGGCACAATAAAAGGAGTTTGCTATTAGAAAGGCATTTATCCTTAATATTAAGGATTAATCATCATAGCACCACTAATAGGAAAAGGAATAGCTCCTCCTCCTAAACCAGGCATCATTATCATATTTTAAAGTTACCCATTAGGGTTCATATTCATTCCCATAAGTTATTAATTAAAATAAGGCATTCCTTAAAACATTAAGTTTTGAGATGATTATTAATGGTGAAAAGGTAATTATTATTAAGGATTTTAAATATTTGAAGTCGATTATTTTACCAATGATTATTATTATGATTGATTTGGGCTTATATTTTATCCAAATTATTATTACTGTTATTGTTATGATTATTATTGTTATTATTATTATTATTATGATTATTATTATTATTGTTATTAAGATTATTTTTATTACTACAATTATAATTATTATTATATTTATTATTGTTATTATACTAATTGTTGTTACTATTATAATTATATTTGTTATTACTGTTATGTTTATTATTATTATTATTATTATTATTATTATTATTATTATTATTATTATTATTATTACTATTATTATTATTATTATTATTATTATTGTGATTATTATTACTATTATTGATTGTCGTTTATCTTTTATTATATATATATATATATATATTTATTTTATATATTTTTTTTTTACATTTTCAACTTTCGTATTAATTTATTTATTTATTTACTTTTAATCTGTATAATATTTACAATTAACATTTTATTATAATGCATTTTTTTCATTATTAATTATCGCCTATTACTCTATTTTATTATTTAAATTATTCACTTATTTTTTATCTTGTTATATTATATCCCTTTTATTATTTGATATCCCTTATTAATCATCTTCTTCTGATTATTCATTACTACTATCATTACTTTATTATACGTGATTAATATATTAATTTTTATCCTTTGATTCATTTAGTTTTAATTTTTTAGATCTTTATTATGAATATTCTGAATAGCTTTCTTAATCGGAACTTTCACCTTCCTTTTTATTTATATATTTTATTTTATAATATTATTAAAAAATTACTATATCATCTCCATATTCTCTTTAAGTAATACTTTTAGCTATAGCCAATAAATTTTAATATGTCTTTTTATATACATTAATTAGTTCTTGTATTCCTTCCTAATTTCCATTTGTAATATCAACAAATCTTTCCTAAAATTATTAAGGAATAGGTTAATTTGTTAATTCAAGAGAAGGACATTCTAATTAATCAAGAGCTTCTTTTATTTTATTGTGACGGTATTTATCTTGAGATTCTTATATTTAAAGAACAAAAGGCTTATTTTCAATTTTTATTTTTACTTAAGATTAACTTTTTTATTAATTAGAATGATCTTTTGTTATTTTAGTTTATAATTATTCTAATAATTAATCAATCTTTTGATTTTTTTTTTAAAAAAAAATATAAAAAAAAAATTATATTTAAAAAATAAAATAAAAATATATATATATACATCTAATTTATCTAATTAAGTATTATTATAATAAAGTTTTGTACATTAAGAAAATTTCAAAGCTAAAAACAAAGGATGTTTAACCTTAAAATAATTAAATTAAATAAATAAAATAAATAAATTACTTTATGACGAATATTCGGCGCAGTTAAATAATTAAAAAGTCCATCCGAGTTATTAGAGATGTTAATTTCATTATCATTTTTCTTTTTATTTTCTCTTTTAACAAATGTTTTATCTAAGTTTTCCGGTAAAAATGGATCTACATAAGAGCTCATTTTTTTTTCCTTTTTTTATTTATTTTTTTATTATTATATTATAAAAAAAATAAAAAAATATACAAGAATAACTTAAGAATCCCTTGCAGATTTTCTCGAATCAACAAAAATAGGTGGCGAAATGGTTGCATTAAGCATTTTTGGTATTTCTTCGTCTTCATTCATTATATAAATACAAAGAACTAAATGGAATTTGACTCCTTCATTATTATAAGAAGTAGACATAAATTTTATTGCTTAGAAAAATGCCTATCCGTTTATCAATTCAATCTTTGTATTACCTTTCATTCCAATATCAACTAAATGGAAATTATCTGGTTAATCAATAACTGCTTTTATAGCAAATAAATGTGCCTTTTTTAATATTTTTAAAAATATATATGAAAAAAAAATTACATATAAATTTTTAGGTGGTTATAATGAGTCACCAGTTGCAACATCTTTTATCTAAATAATTAAATAATTTATATAAAAAAGAAAGAAAAAATAAAAAAATAAAATATGTATATATTAAATTATTATTATGTTTATATAAATTATTGTAATATATTTATAATTATATTTATTTATTTTTGTATATGTAATTTTTATTTTCTTTTAAGAAATTTATATTTCATTTTTGTTATTTTGTATTACTTCTAATCTCACTGAAATATTTGGAAGATTCCAACTTTTATGCCAATTCCAACCTAAATCTTCTGAATATTAAAGTGATTTTTCAGTATCAATGAATAGCTTTACATGAGGATCTGGTCCCTGTTTTTGTTATTATAAATAGTAATTTTTGTTTCCTTATTTGTTTTATTTTTACATCTTCTAATGGATTTGTTAAAACTATTGCAGGTTATAAATTCCATACTGTCATTTTTTTTTTAACCTCAGTTTTTAAACTATAATTACATGGAATCCAATCCCATTTATGAGAAAAATCTTTTTTATTTGTAAATATTTAAATTTAAGATTATTTTTTGCTTATTGAATATTTTTTACTTTGTTATTAGTTTGACATTTTTTAGTTTTTTTAATTATATATTTTTTTGTTTATTTAATTATATATTTTTTTGTTTTTTAATTATATATTTTTTTGTTTTTTTTTGTTTTTTAATAAATATTATTATTATTATTATTATTTTAATTTTTTTTTATTATTATTATTAATATCATAATGTTTATCTTTTCTTTATTTTTCTTTTTTAATATTTTTTAATTTATATATGATACACAATATATATTATTATACATTTTTTTATTATTTTTTTTTTTTCTTTAATCTTACCCCTTTAATTATTTAAATATAAATATTTGATTTAAGTTAAATAAGTTAAATAAATTATTTAAAAAAAATATTTTTTCACTTTATATTTATATAAAAATACCATTTGTTTAAAAGAAAATTCAATAGGTTCTATTTTTTAATATTATTAATATATAATATATTATAATCTCAAGAAAAAAAAAAATTAACTTTTATGTAAAATTTTCTTATAATATTAAAAATGAATAATAAGGGGAAAAAATGTTTAAAAATTAAATTATAATGTATTAAATTTAAAATATATTTAATAATTATATATTAAAAAATATACATATATTAATCGATATATATGAAAATTAAATAAATGCAATCAAGTAATAGAAAAAATATTAATAAAATTTTTTAAATAAATATAATATTTAAATAAATAATTTATTTTATTTAATTTAAATTAATATATCTTATTGAATTATAAAAACATTTATAAATAAATTTGTTTATATTTATATTATAAATATTTTATACTTTTTTTATTTAATATATATTTATTTTTTCATTATTTTTTGAATTATTTTTCTTTTAGTTTAAATTTAGGTGATAAAGGTTTTGTTAATGGAATTTTGTTTTTTTCAATTTTTACTTACTTATATTTCTTAATTGGTTGAGCCTTATATAATAATATATAAACATTTATTATTATTAAATTAATTAAATTTTACTTTGAATACATTAGTTTTAACTGTTTACTTTTATTCCTATGAAGAATTATGACTTAATGCCTTATTTGAAGAATTTCTTTATAAAAATAAATTTACATACATTAATATTAAATTTTATAAAAATATATAAAAAAAAAAATTTACAACAATGTATTATATAATTTTTTATATTTTTTCTGAATTTTTTTTTTAAAAAACTCATATTAAAAAAATAAAAAGATGAAAATAAAATGGAAAATTACCTTCTTTTTATTCCTTTATTTGAGTTTTTTTTTTTTTTTTTTTAAAAAAAAAAATGCAGAAAAAATGAAGAAAAAATTGAAAATAATATAATAATTTTATTAATTTAATATATATAAGTAACTATATATAATTTAAAAATTATTATTAAAAATAAAATAATAATTTTATAAATATAATTGCATTTGCATTTATTTTACTTTTATTATTTTTGTTTTGGTTTAGAAATTTCCCGCTATTTCATAGTACTTTTATCTTTTTCAATACTAACATTCTATTATTTTTTTAACTCCATTCTTCCATTAGTTTAAAAATTAAATTCTTTTGCTACAGTTGTTTAGTTTTTTCTACTTTACTAACGAATTAACATGCTAATTTATTATAATCTGGCATTTCTCTAGCCTTAAAAAGATGCTATTATTAATCAATATTTTTTTTTTCACTAGACAATAACTTTTATTATCCCTTTTTATCAGAACCATCTTCTTTTAATGACGAGGATCTTTATACACTCATTTTTTGAGCTGATATATTTTTTGAAGCTGAGTTATTTCTTTAATTAACTGAATGCTTTAAAGTAGAGCAATCTATATAATAATTTTATTAATAATATATTTTTGAGTTTTTTGTATCTACTTTTTTGTCCATTTTATTCTGATTTTTAAATAGATTCTGATTTTCGTTAAATCTTTTAAATTGATTCAGGTTTCTTTTATATTTTTTATACTGATTCTTATTCTTCACTTTATTATTATATTTTAAAATAAAATTAGATATAATATTTTGATTATTCATAAAAATAAATAAATAAAAGTTATAATATTTAATTACTTTTTTAAATCAGATTTAGTTTCTATTGTAACATTCTGATTATTAGAATCTTTAAATTTTTAAGTAGATTAAGCCTAATTATTGACAATTTAAACTCTATAGATATATAATAAAACATTAAATAATTATTAGAATATAAAGGAATTATGATATTTATTTTTTATTTTTAATAAAAAATAAATTATTTCATATATTTTCATTATTTTACTCATCTTTTTCATTATTATAATTTTGGTTTTCTGACAAATAATTAATAAGCTTTTATTAATCCATTTATTTTCCGATTTACATTTTTATTTTATATTATTTAATTAAATATAAAAATAAACATAGATAGATAGATATTTAATTAATTAATTAATAATAATATTAGTTTGTCTAAAAAAATAAAATATTTATTTATTTTTTAATAATAATAAATAATAAAAACATCAAATTCTATTTTTCTTTTATAAAAACATAAATAATAATCTTTTTATTTTTTAAAAAAAAGTCAAAGCATTTTAATTGTTCCTTAAAACGCCCCAAATACATTTTATTATAGCTTTTCTTATTATAATTTGGCTTACCAAGATGGATGAAGTGAGTTTATTTACTTTAAGTTCTCTTATTTGAAATTTTTCTTTTCTTATTTAACTTAATTATTCTAATTTTATTACCTTTAAAGTGCTTTTTCTTATTTTATTTATTCTTTTCTTTCTTTTCCTTTTTTTTTGAATTCTGTTCTTTCTATAGGATTTTTTTATATATATTTATTAGCTATTTGATTATATTTATTGATAAGGCCTTTGTTTTTTCTTTAAAATTCTATCGAATTTCTATTTTATTGTATTTTAGTATCTTATACATTAAATTCTTCATTTGATTTTTTTCTTCTATTTATTTATTCTTAAAGATTTTAATTAAATGAATTTTCTTCATCGATTTTTTTTTAATATATTTTTTCATTTTTTAAAAGATTTTCTTAATCTTCTAAAGGATTTGTTGTATTTTTTTATTTAATTTATTTTTTAAGTTTAAATTTTTCTTTTTTAATAGATTTTTTAAGCTTTGTCTTTTACATTTTATTATTTACTATATTTAAAATAAATTCCACATCTTCATAAAATTTCTAGAATTTTGTATGGCTTTTTAACTTTTAATAAAATTAAGAAACTATAGTCTTTTTATCAGAAATTTCATTTTTTATATTTTCTAAAAACTCCTTATAATCTTTATTGAATATTTTGTTAAATATATTCTCTACTTTTTATAAATTGAAGCTTTTTTCACAACTTATAAAGTATAATCCCATTTCTTTTAGTTAAATATTCTTTATTTCTTTGAATTTTTTTAATAATTCAGATTATTTTTTAACAATTTCTTCGTGTTTTAATTTTTCAAAAAGCTCATCTCCTACATCTCCATAACAATAAGCTTTCGCTTTACTATCTTTTATTTTTTTCACGATTTTCTGGAAGATAAATAGCTTGCATTTTTTAGCATATTAATAGAATAAATTAAATAATTTTAAACGAAAATCTTATTTATTTTTTATTATGTCTTGAATTTAATCTTTCATTTTTTTTTTTGTTATAAGAAAAATTAATTTAATTCTAAAAAAAATATATTTTTAGACATAAAAAAAAATTATTCCAAAAATATATTATTTTAGTTAATATTAATAAAAAAAAATACGTTAATTAAAAATAAATAATCTCTCTCTTTTATAAAAAATCATATTCATAAATAAAAATAAGAAATAAGTAACTAAAAATAATTTATTATTAAAATATTTAATTATTTATTTATTTTTTATAAAAAAAAAAAAAAGCGTTCAGGACTAAAATATTTATTTAAATAAAACAACACTCAATCTTAATTTTTTTTAAGATTATAATAATTAGCATTATTTTATCTTAGTTTAATTTCCAATTAATTTTAAAGCTCTTCGATTTCCGTATTTAATTCTTTAATTTCAAGATCGTTACTATTAACTTCTTATTTATATTTTTCATTTTCTTATTAAATAACATTCAAAGCAATTTCGAGTCTTTACTTATGGTCATATTAATCAAATTTTTAATAATGTTATTTCCAATCAATAACATTTTCATCATCATTTTATTATTGTTATTATTAACTTTCTTCGTCCATTCCATCTTGATTAGGGTTTTAATTTTTATTATGATTATCGTCAACTTGAAGATATTTTTCTTATTTTAATAATTCATAAAAATCATTCTTAAAAAAAAAAAAAAATTAAATAAAATCTAAAATTAAATAAAAAAACATTTGGATTCACAAAAACAATTTCATCGTAAAATTCAGAAACTACAGGTTTTCTTGATCCTTAATTAGTGAGTGCAGATTTAGTTGGATAAAGCTTATTTTGTAAATATATATAAATATATATATATATAATTTATATAATTATAAATTATTATTAAATATATATCACTTTTAATTTATGAACTAATTCAAGTTAAGGATAATGTGTTTTAAAATGAATTTATATTAAAATATCGAATTCTCCCCATCCTTTTTCGATAACTTCATATGGAGGTTTTGTAATTGCTTTTTTTTATATATTATTATTAATTAGGTAATTATTCAATTTTATATTTTACCTCTTTAATTTTCATTAAATGTTTCATGTAATACAAATACTATTTTCTCTACAAATATTGATAAATCTTCATTATTTGGGCTTCTCACATATACACACCATTTATGAGTGTTTTTATCATTGCTTTTTTTGCCTTTTTTTATTGATATTTATAATTGTTTGTATTAAATTGTTTTTTAATAAAAACCTTAAAAATATGATATTGTGCCATATACTATTGGCTTAAATAGTGTTTATGATTTTAATATAGCTGAATTATTGTCTGACATAGTTTTATTTTTTTTATATAATATCTAATTTATCTTTTTTTATAAATCTATTTTTGTTAATTTTTTGCACTTTTTTTTTTTTTCAAAAAAATAAATATTTTACTATTAAAGAAAAAATAAAAATATGTATATAATAAATTAGAATTATTATTTTTTACAAAATTTTAAAAATATATATTATTTTCTTTATTAAACTTTCTATACATATATATATATATGATAAAAGATATTTTTATCTCTAATTAAGAATAATTTTTTTTATTATAAATTACTTTTGATAAACAAATAAATAATGCTTTTAATCAATAAAAAAAAAATATTAAAAAAAACAAGTTTAAAACATTAGATTATTAAATAAAATCAAAAAATTTTGAATTAAAAAGTAAATATAAAACTATTTTTTTAAAAAAAATTAACAAAAAAGACACTAAAAATAAAAAAATAAAAATATATATAATATATTTTATAATATAGAATCAATTTTTAACTCTAACAACAATAATACTCATATTATCAAGTCCACACATTTGTCCCCCAGTAGAAGTAGCTAAAATAGAATCAAGGAAATTTTCTGTTAATTCTTTCAAGTTTTATTTGTCATCTTAAAAATAATCAACTATTTCTTGATTACTTCTGCATTCCCAAATACCATCACATCCTAAAATAATTAACTTAACATCATCTTATGTCATTTCTTTAATTTGAACATCAGGGAAGGCCGTAATAAGATATTCTTTTGGGTTTTTATTTAAATTATCATTAAGGTTAACTTTATATTCCATATCTCCAAGGGCTCTTGATAAATTTAAATTTCCATTAACCCTGCCATAATAAACATCCCCTCCTGCATTTTATATTCTTTTCTTTTCTATTTCATCATCTGGCTTATGATCTATACTTAAAGGTACTGCGTTTCCTTTTTCGCTAATAACAGTCCTAGAATCTCCACTATTTGCACAATAAATAGTATTTCCTACAATTAAGCAAACATTTGCTGTACAACCTGACGATTAATTCTATAATTCTTATTTCCCTTAAGGAGTTTCAATTAACTCATCCATTCTAAGAAAAGTCTCTTCTAATGCTAAATTATAATTTCCTTTTTAATAATTTTAGTTTTTTTTTAATTCTTCAACAAAATATTTCTCAACAAATAAAGCAACTTTATTTCCTCCATGTCCATCGAAAACTCCAAACAAGGATTTATCTGGACCATCGAAATTCTCGAGTGTTATATGAGCATCTTCCATATTTGCACGCCAACCTTACATACTAGCAGCACAATATTCGAACTTATTATTTTAGCCTTATTTTATATTTTTTTCTGTTACTGGAGTATTTAAATAGTTTCCCATTTGTTTTTTTTTGTTTTTTTGTTTTATGTGTTTGATTTTATTTTTTAATTTTATTTTATCTCTTTTAGTTTTTATTTTTTTATGATTTTTTTTATTCAACCTTAAATTTATGAAATAGATATTATTTTAATATATATATTTTAAAATATAATTTTTTTTATTTTAATAAAATATAAGATTTAAATTAAAAACTCTAGTCTAAAATTAAAATTTATATTTTTAATTATATTATATTGCTTGCATTTTTTTTATTTAGTTATTATATATTTAATTTAATTATAAAAATAAGAAAAACAGTTTATATTAAAATTAAATATATTTTAATATACTAATATTAATTATAATTAAAAATAATTCTTATTTAATTAAACTTTATATATATTATATTTTTATAAAGTTTAAATATATATTATTTTTTTTATTTTTTTAAAACAAATAAAAATTTAAACAAAATAAATGTTATTATCAAAAATAACTTATTATTAAAAAAATAAAAAATATTTTTTTTTTTTTTAACAACTATAACTAATTATATTATTTTATTAACAAAAATATACAAATGACATCAAAATACATACAATAGAGTAATTTTTTTATAAAAAAAAGCATTTATTTTTATATAAATATCCACCACATAAAAAAACAGGCTTTAGTGAAATTTAAGAACATAATAAAAAATTAGAAATAGCAATAAAAATAAATGCTCATATAGATCCTTAAGAAATAATATAAAACGATGAGAAAATATCAGCATTTATACAAAATGAATAATAATTAAATAAATAAATACTATTATCAAAAAACGGGATTAATTATTCGGTTATAAAAAATGAAACATTCTCAAAAAAAAACGAAAATTTACAAAAATTTGATTTCGATTAAGTATTCAATTTTCAACATTCGTAAAAAAAAAAAAATAATAAAAAAAAAAAAATGAATTATTATAAAAAATAAAATGAAAAAAAAAGTAATTAAAAAATATATGAAAACTTTTTAAAAAAATCATCTTTATAAATCTCTTCTTCTTTTTTGATATCTGGATTTTAAGGGTTTATTAATTAAATATTATAAATATAATTTTTTTTTTTTTTTAAAAAAAAAGATCAGATTAAGTATAAATATTTGATTAAGAAAACGATGGTATAATATACCAAATATGTAGAGACTTATTAGAAATGCAAAAATAAATAAATATATAAATAACTTTAATATATAAAAGTTAATTATATGATCTTTTAAAAACTCTTAAAAATCAAGATGTTTATTTTCCTTAATAAATAACTATAAAAAGCATAAAAGAATTCAAAAATATATACAATGAATCGAAATAAAATAGTCTTATACTAGATTAAATAAAAGAAACAAAAAAAATGTGGGAAAAATCACATATAATAGTAAATTTTTAGATAAAAGAAGGTGAAATAAACATTATAAAAGTAGGAAATAGTTTACAAAGTATACATGAATTTAAAGAATTAATAAATTATAAATAAAATGAAAAAAATATTACAGAAAATAATTAAAATTGTTTATTAAAAAAGCTTAAATAAACTGAATTTTTCAAAATTATTTCCTGTATTTCTACAAATCCCTTCTTTTATGAACAAAATTATTAAATGCTTTTATTTTTTTAAGATTTTTAATAAAATAATAATAATATTTTGCAAAATAGAAATAAATTTTTTTTCTCTTTACATACATAGAAAAATAATAATAATGTTAGTTATTCTTATATTGTTGAAAATTTCGAAAACATACTCAACGATTTGGTTTAAAATAACTCTTTTTCTTAAATAGAACATGATATATATTTACAATTGAATAATTAAGAATAACTATTTGAAAATAATAAGTGTTTTTTATAATAAAAAGAAATAAATTATTGTAACTAATTAATAAATAGAATTCATAATTACCTAAAAAAGCCAAAGGATGTTAAAAAATAAAATTAATTAAGCAATTTATTAACTTCTTTTGAGGCTTAAACTCCTAAATAATTAAAAAAATATGGTTCATTGTAAAATTCATCTAAAATATAACAAAAAAGAAGTAATTATGAGAGTTTTAATAAAGAAAAAATAAATTAAGAGATAATAAGAAAAATGGACTAGAGTTTTAATAAAGAAAAATTAAATTAGGAAATAATAAGAAAAATGGACTTAGAAAATAAAACAAAAGAAGAAAATTTAAAAAGAAGTGAATTTTTTAAAAAACATATTTTAGAAAAAGAGAATTTATAATTAATAAAAATAACAGAATAAAAAGAAGAAGAAATTGAAAAAATTTTAAAAGAAAACGAATAAAATTTAAATGAAATAAAATAAAAATTTTAATTTGAAATTGAAAAATAAAAAAATCGCATTTAATTTTTAGAAAAGGAAAACGAAGAATTTGAAAGGAAAAATATTAAAATTGAAAATGAAAAAAATGAATATTTTCACCAAATTAAAAAAATAGAATAAAAATTTGAAATTTTTGAAAAAGAAAAAATCGAATTTTTCGAAATAGAAAAACAAAAAATAATTGAAGAGTTTAATTTAAAACATCAACAAATTTTCGAAAAAAAACAAAAACAAATTCAAAAAATAATCAAAGTAAAATACAAAAAGAAAATTAATGAATTAGAAAATGAAATCTAATTAAAAAATACTTTAAATGAATAATTATAGGACGAATTAAAAAATAATGAAAAGGAATTCTTGAAAATAAAAGAATAAATTCTTTTTAATAATAAAGAACAAAAAAACGACTATGAAGAACTTATTAGACTTAGAAACTTAAATAAAAAAATGGAAAACTAAATCATTACTTTAGAAAAAAACATGGCTTATTTTGAATAAGAAAATTAGGACTTTAAAAATATGGTTTCTTAACTTCAAAGCGAAAATACTCAACTTTTTTAAAATTTTTAGGATGCTTAAAATAAATCAATTTAAGTAATTTTTTTTTGTTAAATTTTTTTTTATTTTTTATTTATTATAGGAAAGTAGAAATTTTGAAAGATAAATTGAAAGCTTAGTTTAAGAGATTAATTCTAATAAAATTTAATTTGAAGATATTAAAATAAAGGAATATAATCAATTTAAAGAAATCGAAGAATACAAACAGAAATATCATAATACTAAAAATGCAAATAAACAATTAAAAATTGATAATAATAAAGTTAATTATTAATTTGTCTTTTTTTTTAATATATATTTTTTCTTATTATATTTAGCTTTGGGATTAAATAAAGGATATACAAAAACAATTGGTCTAAGAATAAAAAAAAAAGAATAATAAATAGTTATGTAAAAAATTCAAGAAACAAAAGATAACAAACTTAAGGTAGTTTTAAATATTTTATTAATATTAAACATAAACAAAAAAGCTAATAGACGAAATATAAGGAATAATAAAATCCCATAAATAAATAAGATATAATAATAAAGACTGAATAAAAAAGAATTATTTCATATATTTTTTTTAAATAAAAAAAAGACATTTAATATAAACTAAAATATTTTATTAATAAATAATTTATAGTATTTATATTTTTTAATAAAATTTTTAAAGATATATAAATATATATAAACTAAATAAATGAAAACTTTTTCCTAAAAATTGCTTAAAACTTATTAGAAAAATTAAATTAATTCTTATTGTCTTTTTTAATCAAAATTGAATGTAAAATTCAGCAATATTAATTCTATTTCAAAAGAAGTATATGAAAGAAATAAAGATATACTATAAAACCATATTAGATTAGATTGTAATTTATAAAGATACAAATTAATATTTTAGAACGCAATAAATGCATTTGTCTATAACGAAAAGTATTATTAAAAATAAAAATAATATAAAAATAATAAAAAGTGGCGAACATTTATCAAAACTTGGATGTTTATCTGATTATTCAGCTTTATTAGATATATAAGATAAAATGATGTATTATTATAAATATTTGTTGTTGATTATATTTTATAGAAAAATATTAAAATAGGAGAGATGAAACAGGAAGTCTTATTTTATAAGAAAAGCCTCGTGTAAATAATGATACAGCTAATTTAGATTATCTATTAAATTTTCCTAAAAATACATTTGGGTAAAATAGAAAAATAATAAATTTTTATAATATAATAATAATAAGAACACAAATAAATAATTAGATATAATTATGCAAGATTTATGTCTGATAGGCGTTATTCAAGTGAAGAAAGACCAAAAGTAACATATTTACCAGATTTTGAGTTAGCTTATATATTTTAAAGATATAAAGAAGTATAAATAAAATAAACATATAAATTAATGTTTATTTAAAATATAAGATACATGATTTTATTCATGTTTTACTAGGTTATGATGTCACTGTTTATGATGAAATCATTGTCAAGTGGTATGAAATGATTCAGTTAGCATTGCCTGTAAAATATTTTATATTTAAATATATTTTTTAATATTTATTTAGAGTGCAAGTATTTCATCTTTTTTTGGTCCTTTAAAATTTACAAAAGAAGAAATTATAGATTTTAATACAAATGAATTGCCTAAAATTACATAATAAGCAAAACAAAGCAAATTTATAATGAACTTATATTTCGAAAAGGAATATAAAACTGACATAGTATAAAAAAATATATATATATATTTTATTAATAAAAAAAAAAGAATGAATTAAGAAAAAAAATGAATATAACATTAAAGCCAAAGCTTTTTTATGAATGAAAAAATAAAAAAATTATCGAATTTAAAAAAATATAAATGATAAATAATCTAAAAAAATAATTTTTTTAGTATTCTAATATATATTTATATCTAAAAAAAAATAAGAAAATAAAAGATCATCAACCATAAGGATTATATTACATGCCCATACCTGCTGGCATAGTATTCATCATTCCTTACATATTATTCATTCCCATATCTTATTAAACAGGCATCATTCCGGGCATAGTATTCATTCCCATAGGAGGCATCATTCCAGGCATAGTACCAGGAGGAGGAGGTAACATAAGATTGAATGGAAGCATTTCTGCAGGCGGCATCATCATTTAAGGATTTTATTACTCAGTAGCTTTTTTTTTCTCTTCTTCTTTTTCCCTTTTATCATGTTTCTTTAGTACATTTTCAACTCTATTGTTAATTTCTCTCATTATTTATACAAAATAAGGCATAACAAAATCTATAAGATTATATCTCCAACCAATTTCCATAGCCACATCAGGTCGTATTAAATCATAACAAGTATAAAGAGTTACAGTGATCATTTCTTTTTCTTATTCTTATACAAAGAATCTTAATAAATCTTCTACAAGTTCAATTTTTCCTGATTCCTAAGCAGTTTCTATAGCATCCTATTTTATTTAAATATATACATATATATATATATATAAAATAATATTTACTTTATAAATCTTATCTTATTTAGATAAAGCTATAGAAAATTCATATTTTTTAACTCTCCTATATAAAAAGGCTGATTATCTTCTAAATTCTAACAATCTATGTTTTTCAGTAAGTTTAGCTAACGATATTTAATCGAAATTTTCATATTAAGAAATAGACTCATGTAAAGATTCATAATCTTAAGATTCTACATAAATCTCATTCAACGCTTCATTCACTTCTTTACTGTTTGAATTCTAAACTTATTTTAGGAAAGGAACAATTAATCCTATATACCCTGTTTTTCTCATAATTTAGACACATTTAGTTAAATCTATTTTAGTAGTTAAAGATTTTAATAGATCATTTAAAAGATCTGGCTATTCATCTAAATAGAAAAGAATCGATTTATAATAAAGGTCAAAATTATGAGCTTTTATTAATAAATTAACAAACTAATCATGATTAAATGCATATGGTGAATGTTCTATCATTATGTTTATTGCATTATCACATTAATCGAAACTTGCGTTTAAAAATATTGCTTCTGCCCATAATTAATATTTTTCACAAATTCTTAAAACTCTAGAAGTATTTATTTTCTAAGAAAATATTTTATTATATTTTATAAATATTTTTATTTTTTTAAATATAATAATTTACTTATGTATAATTTCTTAGGTGTTCAATTAACTTTTCTGGTTTATATTTCGCATATAAAATAGCTAATTCAGTAAAGATACCTACATGAGCCCTTGGCATACTCAAACTAGTTTCTAAAAGTTAAATCATCTACATTTCAGATCCATATTCTTCATATTGTCCAATAAGTTCTTCTAAATAATCTGGTATCATAATAATATACATAGAAGCGACTGATGCCAGTTTAAATTCACCAGCTTCAATGCATGCAATTGTTAATTCTTTCCAAGTTTTTGGTGTATTTGCTCTTTTAGCACTTTCTATGGCCTATTAGAATTGTTTTAAACGGACTAAACACGATGCTATTTTTGCGTTATTTTTAATCGAAACGAAAAGATGTTTTGCACTTTCGTAAAGTTTTTCTTCATAGCATCTTTCTCCTACTTTTTAAGCATCAATAGAATTTGGATTTGACAAGAAATTCTCTAAATCATTATTTTTGTCGCATTTAGCTAATGAAAAGGCTAAAGAATTATCTATTATTTAATCTTTGATTGTTTCTCTTGCCATTTATAAATATTTTATTAAAACTTCATATTTTCCCTACATTTCAGCTTAATTTATTACTTCTGCGAAATTCTAAGGATCTCTTCCTTTCAAAAAACATTCGACAGCATCCTCTATTTGCACTTTTTGTATATAGGCTTGACCTAATTTAGTCCAAATTTCCGGATTATTATATTTTTGAGCATATTCTGAGGCTCTCGGCATATCTTAAATATGGAAAATTAAAACTTCTGCCGCTTTTGCATTTAAATTGAATTTGTGATAAATCGTGAAGGCTTCTTCGAATAATAAATACGGATGAGAAAGTGCAACTTCGGCTATTTTTTCACCATCATAATTATTTAAACGGCTTATGTAATCCATAACTTTACTTTAGTCAGTTTTTATAGCTGTAGTGATTAAAAGATTCTATAATTTTTTATATTATCCGAATTCTGGATTATGTACTACTATTCTTTCCAATAAAGCCATTAAATATTCTGGTAAATCAGCATCCATGAATGCTTTTACTGCAGTAGATACTTATTCGACCTCTTTACATTCATTAAGTGCTGTAATAACGAGATCAATAACCTATTATCTGTACGTGTTTTCCTAAGAAAGGACTTATTGCCATAATTCTTCACTTTATCTTTCCACTAAATATCTTGCTTATAATCTAAATAGCGAATTTTTATTCGTTACTTGAATTAATTCTTCATCACACTCACCCCAGGAACGTTTATACGCGATAACAGCTAAATGTGGGTCTCTTTCTTCACAAAATTTACCAACTACTTTAGCATCATAGAATTAGTTGTTAGTAAGGAAATTCTCAGGGTCTTAATTTGTATCGATCTTTATCTTTGCGAGTGCATTATGGATTGAAGGAAGTTAATTACCTTCCATAGTTCTAGCTTCCAACCAAGCTTCCAAAAGTTTTATTTTATTCCTTTTTTCGAATTCTTCAATTAATTAATCTACGGTCGGGGCTGGTATTTTACTTCCTAATTGATGAAGGAGGAATATTATTTGTCTTTCTTCGCACCCTTAGTCAATTAAAGCTCCTAATACTTACGGAGTTGCTTATGGGTTTACTTAAAAAAGATATACTTATATGTAATTAAAGAAATCTATTTTTTTTTAAAAAAAAAAATATATATATATATATAAAAATAATGATTTTTTTCTACTGTTTTTATATAAATATTAAATAAGCTCTTCTACATATTTATGAATATCGCAAAGGAAAATCAAAGGCTTCGGGTCTGGAAGGCGCATATTTTTGAGGAAATCCTTAACTTTTTCAGGATTATAGCACTTGGGTTTTTCTTAAATAATCTATTCAACGACTCTTAATTGATTGCATTTAGCAGCTGCTTCAATATATTTGAAATAAATATCTTAGTCTTCAGTAGTACTAATAATTTAACTTAAGAACAAGAAAATACCTTCAAAAGATCCTACTTATTCAAATAATTTAATACAAATTTAAATAGTGTATTTCTAATGACCTTTAACACAAGTTTCAACCACAATCTACAAATTTTATCTATTATGCTTTAATAAATCTAATAAACAAGGCATTGTGATTTCAGTTTATTAATTAATAAAATAATTAACAAGCCATTAAGATTGAATTGACTAAGTATTTAAACAAACCCTTCTAATATCTTTAACATCCGGATAATTCTCAATAGCTTTCTAGAATAATTATTTTTATTCACACAATTAAGCAATTCTAACTCTATTATATTAATTCCATTTAGTAATTTCAAAAATTGCATCAACAACATTCGGTTAATTCATAATATTCCATTCTAAGACTTTAGTTTACCAAATTCCATCTTCTGGCCTGTTTGCTTTCATACAATCAACTAAAAGGGCAGATAATTCTTTAAATTTTTAAGCCTGAATGAAAATTTCAGCCACTTATTATACACTTTAAGAAGGGTTTTAAGTGAAAAGATTCTTTGCCATTTAAACTGCTTATTAAGGATTTGTATTAATACAAGATTTTACCATTGACATATAATCTAAATTCACTCCTGATTATCCCGCTTATTTGTTCGCTTCTTCAACTCTTCCCAATGCCATTAAAGTGGAAATTACTTTCGCGTTCGAATTGCATTTTTTATACACGTCTAATGCCAAGTTTTGGTCAAATTAGCTTATTACGTCTCCTAATAATTCAGAGTTTTCAAGTTTGTTTTCCTTAAGCCATTATTCCACAAAGTTCTTTCTACCTTATCCTAATACAAGTTTACATAATTCAACTGATTCCAAAGCATTCAAGCTTCCTTTTTATAAAAGAGTCTAAAAGTACACTAAAAGTGGGGAAGGAGTTCCTTACAAAGACTTGAATTTTTAAATAGTCTAAGCATTTCTAATTAATTCTCCAGGCGCATTCGCTGCAACCTAAGCTGCTCTTGCATAATCTGCATTAGCCATACATTTATTAAATTAATCTTAAAACATATTATCCATTCCAGGAAGTTTATACCTAGCAGCTAATTTGAAGGCAAATTAAGTTACATTTGGTAAATTTTAACAAACATTCATTATATGAGGTACAAGTGCCAAAGGATCAATTTAAATCAACAAAAGTTAACCATTTTTTGCTAAAGTATAAACACCATCTTCCCTATTATCTTAAGTTCCAATAAAGATGGTAGAATCAGAAATTCTATTTTAAAAAATTAAGCTTCCTGACATAATCTCATATAAATAAATAAATCCATTTTTAGTTATTACAAACAACTACCCATATTTCTATGAAACTTACATATAAATAGGAAAATCATTCGGGAATTGAGGATTTGTAGGAAATTCGCATGTTATTTTGTGTTTCTAAAGACCTTCTGGGACTACCGAAATTTCGTTAATTTGAACTTTACCCATAGGCTCTCCGATTTTTTTTTCGAAAAAGCATAGTAAGGTCGACATATGGGTATCATTGTGTACTTTTGCCATTCCAAAACAACAGCAATGTCCTTATAACATTTACTATTTCCCTTCTCCTAGTTTGAATAGTTGAATTGTACCGTTTATATTTATTCTATCTGGAGATGCAATTCCATATATAGCACACCAATTCCCTTAAGGAGCTAATTTATAACCTATTATTTAACTTTATCCATTAGATAAATCTCCAAATCTTAATTTATTTTATTTTTATAAATATTCATTAATTCATTTATATATTTTACCTTTCTAATATTTTAACATAAGTTTCTTATGAACCTAAATCACTATGATATACAGTTGTGGGGGTTACCAAAGCTAAAATTTAAGGATTTACCCATGTCATATATACTATAGGTTCTGTCAAATCTATATGTTTTAGCTTTTACTTTTAATCAAGATTCCATACCTAAATATATTAAATAATTAATATATATTTAATTTATTTATTTTTTAAGAACCTGGACATATGAACCAGTTTGACTTGTTGCCCTAAGTGCCATTATATTTTTAAGAGGATGAAGAAGTGAAAACTCAGCTTTGTTGGCTTTTCTATTTACATTAAAGTTATTGTCTAGTTATATTTAAGTCAATTAATTTTATCCTTACTTTTTTTATTTAAAAGAATATTAATTTTTATTTAATTTATTTTTTACGGGATTCTTGTCGTTTATGCATATTGTTTTTTCTGACTCAAAACTTGTAGAGTTCAATTTTAAGTATTAAGGATCTATACCTAAACTAGTTATATTTGTTAATTAAGTTATTTTTAAGGGACCACCTTGCATTTTTTTTATTTTTATTTATTTTTTATTTTAGTAATTATAATAAAAAAATTTTATATTTTAATTTTATTTATTTCATAAATAAATAAAAAAAATATTTTTATATTTATATTGCGGAAAATATAAATACTGTTAAATAATTTTATTTCATGAAAATATATATTAATGTAATATTATAAAAAATGAAATATATAAATGAATTTTTTATTTATATATATTTATATAAATGAAATATAAAAAAACTTTTTTAAAAATAAATAATATACCTTAAAATTAATTTTAAGAAATATTAATATTATATAAAATAAAATTATTATTATTTTTATTTTAATGTTTTTTATATTTAATATTTTAATTTTTACTTTATTATTCTTATTTTTAAAATAACATTAATCATGTTTTATATATGAAATTTTATTAAATTTTTAAATAGTTTATTTTATATTTAGATTGAATTTGTAAGATGTGTACATATAAATTTTATAATAATATAAAAGATAAATTCAAAATTAACTAGAATAATTAACATATATTTTTAGCTAATTATATTGTATAACGATAAGAAAGCTATCATAATTGATATATTTCTAATTTACAAAGAATATTTTAGTTTTTAAATTTTAATTATAAAATAGTTATAAAATGCCTTGAAAGATTGATTATCTTTTATAAATTTTATTAAATAAAATTTTTATAAATATGGGCTAAAATAAAAAATATTTATTTATAAATCATATTAAATTAAAAAAATATTACAAAAATTAATTTATTAATAATAAATATTTACATAAAAATTAAATATATTTTAATTTATCAAAAAAAAAAATATAAATATTATAATATTTATTTAAATTTTTATTTAAAAATAAATATAAAAAAAATATTATCTATATAAATTAATTATATAACACAATTTTTAAATCGTATAGTTGAATAATAAATATCAAAAAATATGAGATACATACATTTAAATATACTAATTATTTCAAATCTGAAATTGTTGATGAAGATAATTTTATAATTTTTATTTTATTTATAAATATTTATTTAAAATAAAAACATACAAAATAACTTAAAGCTTTCAATAATAATTTTTTTATTTTTTAATCATTTGGCTTTAATTTATCTTTGTATAATATTAATTTATTATTGATAAATAATGTTTTCAATCTAATAATTTACCACCTTTTCTATTATAAAATTTAAATGTATAAACAAAAATAAAATAAAATTTTTAAATATATACATTTTTCTTGATAATTAATACATTCCAGATAGACCCATAACGAAATTCACAAGGGCAAGAGAATAATTAACAGGATTAATAACAAAACTATATCTATAAAATAAAATGTATTTTATTAAAATAAAAAATAAATAAACCTAGTCCAAGTAAATCCACTTAACATAATAGCTAAATTATTAATTTTTTTATATAAACAAATATAAAACTTATATATAAAAAACCTAATTATTAAAAAGTATTAACTTGCTCTAATGGTATATTAAAATCAGTAAAATTAACTAAAGTAATACCCCATTTTATTAAAGGACACCAAAAGAAAATAGTAAATGGTCCGGCGGAATGCATTAAAAATTATCTCATGGAAGCTTTAATTTATCAATTGTTAGTATTTTTTTTTATATAAATATTTAAAATTTTTAATGTAAATAAATTACCTGGCCAAAAATTCCATGTTAATACTCTTTTTTATATTAAAGGGACTATTCCGAACATTTTAATAATTTTCTTAGTTTTTTTTATATTTTTTTTATTCAAAATATTTAATTTATTTTCAAAAAGAAAAAAAACATTAAAAATTATATATATATATATATATATTATAATTATTTTAAATAAATTAAAAAAAATAATATTTTTATATTATTCTTTTTTTTTTTTTATAAATTTTAAATTTATATTATTTAACTTTTAATTAAAGTATTTATAATAATATCAATTACTGATGTTTTAATTATTATAAATATATATATTACTTGCATTTATTGTTATTTTTTTTTTAAAAAAAAAAACTCAATCAACAATAAAAAAGAAAATTATGACATTTTTTTTTTTAAATAATTAATAAAAAAAATACTTTAAAATATAATAAATAATATTCAAAATTAGTAAATATTAAATATATATATATATATATTTTATATTTAAATATTTTTTTAAAGCATGTTTATTATTTTCTTAATGTCATAAGCAAAATTAATAAAATTATAAAAATAAATAAAAATATTTAATTATATATAAAAAAAATTTAAATAAAAAATTTAATAAGAAAAAAATTAATAAAAAAAAACTATAAAAAATAATATAAATACAATGAATGCTCCTTCAATGATATACTAAGAATAATAAATACAAATGTAACAAATGCTTATTTTATAATAATAATAATAATAATAATAATAATAATAATAATAATAATAATAATAATTATAATAATAATATATCCTATAATATTAATATCCCATTTAATAAATCCGAAAGTAATCAGTAAAGCCAAACTAATAATATACATAAGAATAGTTATAACGAATACCCGAACCAGGCTATATTCTTGATACATCATATCCAACTGAACAAGACATAGAAGAGAGCAATTACATACGCAATATGATAAAAAGATATTTTTGTAATCCTGAACAAGAAAGAATGAAAGAACAGCAAGTATAAAAAATTGACTCCATAATACAAAAATGGATGTTCAATATAAATGTTGACGAAAGAAAAATAGTTGAATCATTGGCACATAAAGTAAAAAAATAAAAAATAAAAAATAAACAAAATAAATATAGTATACAGCAAAACTATTACCTTTTGGAAGTTATTATTTAGGAGTAGCTTCAGTAGACGCAGATATAGATTTAGTATGTATAGCTCCTAATTTTGTGGAAAGAGAAAAGCATTTTTATAATCAATTATATAATTTAATTAGAGACCAGGAAGGGGTTTAATATATTGAAAAAGTTACAGATGCAAAAGTTCCAATTATTTCTTTTATCATAAATGAGCTTCCAATAGATATATCTTTTGCTCAATTAGACACCGAAACCCTTCCAGAAGATATAGAAAAGGGAATACCAGATAAACATTTAAAAAGCATGGATTAAAAAGACATAAAAAGTATTAATGGATTTCGTTCTAATCAAGCTATATTAGAGTATGTGAGCGAAAAAAACCCGAACCCTGAGATAGCAAAATCCAGATTTAAAGATGCTTTAAAAGTGATTAAAATATGGGCTAGACATAATGGTATTTATGATAATAGACTTGGTTTTTTGAGTGGAATTAGTCTTGCGATTATGTTGGCTAAAATTTTGTAATTGTTTCCGAATTTGGAAGTAAATGGAATAATTAAATAGTTTTTTTAAACTTTTGCTTCAAGATGGGATTGGAAAAAAATGGATGTGTAACTTGGCAGTAGAAGCGAAGAAATGAAAGTACAAATGTAAAGTTAATAAAGAAAATGCATGCATATTATTACTCCAGCTTACCCAGAATATAATACGACTGATAGAGTTAAAATGATTAATTTTAATATTATTGTTGCAAAATTAATGTAATCTTTAATAAAAGATATATAATAATATAAAAAAATAAATATATAAATATATAAATATATAAATATATAAATATACATATATATTTTTTTATATATATAAAAATATTATATATTAATGATTTATTTCTTTTAATAAAATAAGTGCATCAAATGACTATATTTAAAATTAAAAAAATATTGTTTGGGAAAAAATAGTTGAAAAAGAAAACTTTATAAATCATTATAAACTTTTTATTGAAATAGATTTGATTTAAAATAAAAAAGGAGAAATAGGTTAATTTATAGCTTAAAAAAAATATTTTGCCTTACGACTTTTAAATTTGTTTGATTAATTAAAAGGTATTGAATATGATCCTGAAAAAATTGAAGTCAGGCCTTGGCCTATTTTCTTTGATAAAAAAGATCCCGATTATCCTTATTGTGCTGCCTTTTTAATTGGATTAAAAAACAAAATGCATCAGCCTGTTTAATATAGTCTTTAAGAATGGATTGTTGGATTTGCTAAATAATTGATTAATAATTAAAAATATTAGTAATTTATATAGTTTTTAATTTATAATTTTTATTTTTTTAGAATGGTCAATTATATGGTTAGAATTTTCTAAATAAAAAGAGAAGATTTAAATGATATAGATTACGACGAACATTATCAAACTGAAGAAAAATAATTTAAAATAGAAAGCTAAATTTTATAATAACAATAAAATAATGTAAATAAAAGGAATTTAGAGATTTTAAACAATAATGGATAATAGTAATTATATGAAAAAATAGGAAAAAAAAAATTAAAACGTAAGAAGAAAAAGACAAAAAAGATGAAGAAGATAATTTAGATGACTTTTTGTGAAAATAATTAATAAAAATAAATATATATATATATATATTCTTATTATTGTATTATAAAAAGAAATTTTATTATACATTTTATTAAATTTATATAATATTAAATGTTTTATTTATAAATAAATAAAAAAAAAAATATTAATTTTATATTATAAATAAAATAAATAAATTAAAAATAGCATTTAAAAATAATTTTTAACAAAAATAAAAATAAATATATATAAAATATTATTATAATAAAAATATTATAATAAAATAATAATAAAATTAAAAAAAATAATAATAATAATAATAATAATAATAATAATAATAATAATAATTATTTAATTTAAAATTATACATTTTTTTTTCAATTAAAATTTCTATTTGTATTTAATGTTTGTTTCATTCTATTTAATATCTACTTTATATCCTATAACTACTTTTTATATTAAGAAGTTATATTTTACATTTCAGTATCACTACAAATAATTTTTATTTCTTTATCATCATTAGGATGTAAATAATTTCCTTAATTCAACTATTATTCTTGGTCTACTTTTTCTAAAAATAAAATAATATAATATCGTCAAAAAGAATTATAAATATAATAATACTTTCGATTTGTTTAATAATTTTATTGAAATATTTTTCAAAATTTTCATTGTTTTCTTTTTTGCTTTTATTTTAAAAATTATATTGTTAAAAAAAGAATATATAAATAAAAAAACATTTAATTTTTTATTAATTTGTTATTAACTTAAGTATTATTATTTTTATTATGTTATTAATTTTATTGATTAAAACTTATTTTTTAATAAGTTTTGGTTAAAGGTGCTAATTTATGAGAAAGTTAATTTTTTAATACCAAACTATATTTAGGATCATAAATGCCTACAGGAGGTAAAAAAAATTATTTATTTTATTTAATTATTTTTTATTTTGATTTCTATTAACTAAATTAATTAGAATGCAATTATTTTTATTCTTAAATTTTTATAATATCAGTACTGTAAAATTTCTTAAATTTATTTTATTTTATATTTTATTAAAGGTTTTTATTCTTTTAAGATAGTTTTACAATAAAATTAGAATATTTATCCTATATATTTTCCATTAGAGTTTGTTAATGTTATTAATATTCACTTATATCTGTAAAAAACGGGTTTCGATCTTTAATTGAAATCGGAATTATTGAATGTTTAGTTCTCACTATCTATGAATTATTTATTCCTAATGGGTTTTTAAACAATCTATTTTAAAACCTTTCAATTTTTTAATTATTTCTTTCTTATTATCCCTTTAATTTAATATTTATTTAAATATTTTTATTTATTTTCTACATTTTTTATTAGATTTCCTAAAGAATCTCTTTCATTTTAAAAAGGTTTGAATTAATTTTCGTTATATTTTCTTTATGTTCTTTCATAATTATTGGTCAATTAACTGCTCTATTTTTATGAAATATTTTAATAATTAACATCTTCTTGGTCTTTATTTTTTAAAAATTAATTTAATATTTCTCTCTTATTATTATAATTTGAATATAAGGACATTTTTTTACTAATTTAAAAATATATAATAATTAAATATAACAGAAAATACAAAAAACAAAAAAATTAAATAATTTTTTGTAGACTTATTAATAATTTAATTATTATCATAAATAAAATTATTTTTAAGGAATAAATAAATAAAAATATTTCATTTTAATATTTAATTGATACACATTTTATATAAATTAGGGAAATAATCTCTTAAAACCTAAGATTTAATATCCCCTTTATCAGCATTAATATTTAAATTTCCATATAAATTAGCTAAATAGTCAATTTCTTACTTTGGCATTTCAAATTCGAATTAAAGTTTGAAATTATCAATTTATATTTGAAATTTGTCTAAATCTTTTGAACTTCCCCACCATTAATCTACTTATTTTAGCTCGTTTTCTTTTAAAGTTTCTAATATTTAAATTAACTTTATTAATAATGAAAAAGCTTCCTAAAGAGTTTAAATTTAACAATTTTATTATTAAAGATATTTTATTAAATATTATTCCAAATTATTTTTATAATTAATTGTTAGGTTTTCAAAAAGAATTTCATTTGAATTATTTTATTGAATTTTTTATTTTTCAATATTTTCGGTTAGTTTTTTTATACCAATTTTTAATTTCTCCTTTTCACTTATCATTAAGGACTACATTATTATCTAAAATGTATCTTTTTATCCTTTCCACATATTTTAATATATTCATTTAGATCTTTTGATTATAAAAAAATTATTTTTTCGTTAAAATTCATTTATTATATTCGCTTTAATTAAAATTACTCAAACTTAGTTGCTATATTTTATAATTAAATTTTTGAAAAAAATAAATTTTACTTCGATCTATATTATTCTAACAATTCAGTTCTTCTTTTGAGTCTGGTCTTTTAATATCTGAAGTACAAGATCCCATTTTTTGGTTTTTGTTAGTAATTTTATTACTTTTTTTAAGAATTAAATGTGGTTTATTTTGTTTTAAGTATTTTATTTTTAATTAAAATTAAGTGATTAATTTAATAAATAGTACTAAGTTATAAAATTTAATGATAATAATGATATTACATAATTTTTGTTTTTGTTTTTTTTATTTATTTTAAAACAATAAAAATTTTAATTAAGTAAATAAGATTTGAAAATTAAATATTATATAAATAATAAATTTATCTTAAAATATATAAGATTTTAACTAAAAATTAATAAAAATAACTTTTTTGAAAATTTACTTTTTTTATATTTAAAAATAATCATTTCTTTCTTTGTATAAAAATCAAAGCAATAAATATAATTTTAAATAAAATTTATTCGAATATATTCATTTTTATGATATATTGTTTTTTATAAGTACAAGTTAATATATTTATTTATTATATTTAATTCTATTTGGTTACATTTTTTTTATTATAAATTTTATTTTTAATATTAGTTAATTTAATATAATAAATAATAATAAAAGCTTAAATTTATATTTATTTATATATTAATTAAAATATAATAAAATTTTATATTATAAACATAAACTTATATATATATAATAAAATTAAACATAAACTTTTTATTAATACAAATATTTAGAAGTAAAAATAGTATTTTTAATTTTTAATAATAAATTTAAATAAATAAATATTTTATTCGTTTTTGTTTTTTAAATTTTTTTATTCATTATTATTTTTTTATTTTTTTTACGTTTCTTAAATATATATATAAATATATTTTCTTTCTTTTATATTAATTAAAATATATATATATATAAAAAAAAAATTATATTAAAAAAAATAATAGCAATAATAAAATAAATAATAAAATAATATATATGTTTTCAGATTTTGCATTATTTATTACTATATTAGTTCTTGCTTTTCTTGGATTAATATACACACTAACAATAACATTAGTTTATGTAAAAAAAATATAAAAATAAAATAAAAAACCAAAATCATAAAATTAAAAGAAAATAAATACAAAAGTAGCAGTATGATTATAATAAAAACGTCGAATAAGAAGCATTATTTTCCGAATATTCTAACATAAATATAAAAAAATAATAAGCATAATATTATTAAGGACATAACGGATCACATAAATAAAGCTACAACAGAATTATATTATAATCAAACAATTTTAATGACATATTTTTTCTTTAATTTTCGCCGCTATATTCTTAAGTTGGCTTTCTGCAATTGAATATAATCCTCTTTTAATATTTGCTTTCGGTTTAGGATGTATTTGTGTAGCATTGAACACATACGTAACTTTAAAAATCTCCTTAGCAACAATAGCTAAGATTGTTATCCTTAATAAAAGTGATAATATTTATGCTTTTGGATATTTATCAGCCACTTCAATCACTGTGTTTGTAGTTTCTACTATTCTAATATTTTTTTCAGTTGTAATATATTCATTTTCCTGTAAAAAACAAAAAAACAAAAAATTAATGTTTTTATTAATAACAAAAATATTTCCTATTTTCTTATATTTTTTTTTATATAATTTTTATAATATAATAAAAAAAAGATTTTGTCATAATAGATAATACTTTAGAAGAAAACTAAGGTCTTTTTTTATCAGTTTTAGGTTTTGGAGTTGGAAGTAAATAAAAAAAAAGCGAAAAAATATACAAATAAAAAAAAAAGATGCCTGCGCATCATTATTCTACCGAGAAGTTGGAAGTATAAGTAGTAAAGGAATTTTAATCGGCGGTGATTTAATAATCCGATCAAATTACAGCAACGATGAATAGAATAGAATAAAAATGAATTTGGACATGGCTAATATAATATGTAATATATATACTAACAATATAGTCTCTATATTAGATTTTTAGACTGTGTTTACAGGATTTGTATGCGCATATTTATTAGTAATATCCGGTTGTTAAGAAATTAACGAATAATACTAAGGAACATATTATATGCCTTTATTTTTCTTGGCTTTGAATTTAATTATTGCTGGTTTAGTTTCTTTAATAAGTTTAAAACCATTAGATAATGAAGTTGGAATAGCTACATAGATAGCAAAATCAATTAAAATCTAAATCTTAATTTGTAATGGAATTTCTATGCTTTTCTTTTTATTTTTTACTATATTTTTAATGCCTTAATAATTCTCTATAGGCGAAAAAAAACAACATACTTTTTCACACCTAGATATTTCCAGAGCTGATGCCATCTGGTCTTTAATTACAGGACTTTTCGCCTAAGGATTTTTTTTAATTTATGCTGAATATATGACTTCCCATTATCATAAACCAGTAAGGACTTTAGCCAAAAAAGAAGACGATGACAATAATTAAAAATAAATGTATGCTTTTACAATACTATAGGCTTAGTATTAGGCTAATATTAGTATTTTCTTTGCATTTTTGTATTTCTGTTTTGTATGTCTTATTGGTTATTTGCTGGCTGGATTTTTCGGTATTGCTTGCTGTGCTATGGGTTTAATTACTGGACCTTTTTGCCTTATTTCGATTAATATTTTTGCAGGTTTTACTTCTGAAGCTTTCGCTATGTCAGCTGTAGGATGCGTTTTTAACGAGGTGAGAAATAAGGTTTATTAATTAGCCTGGACTACTAAGAATTATAGTATATTCCCTCAAATAATAGTTGCTGTAGGAATTCTTCTTGCAAACTTAATAAGTGCAGGGGCTTCCCTTATTATTACTTAAGAAGAAGAAGTCTATATTTGGGATGCCTATGGACTTTTTGGTTTACTTATAGGTGGTTCGATTATTTATTTAATCAAAGGAACTTCTACACTAGGAGTTAAAGATGTAGCTGAAAATTTAGTAAAAATAAAAAAATATTAAAATAAATAACAATCTAAAAATATATATAGAAAAATAATTACGATAATGCTCCTTTTTAAGGGGATGATTCAAATTTAAGGAAAGTTTAAACTTTAGTTTATTCTTAATATAATAATGCCATTTATAAGGCTTCTTTTAACATAGGAATAGTAATTTTTATTTATTTAAAACAAAAGATACATATATATATATATGTGTAAATAAATTAATAATATATATAGGGTTTATTCAATATTGCATTTATTGGTTTACTATTAGGCTCTAAAGCATTAATAGCATTTTTATTAGGGATGAATCTTGTAGGAATATATTTAGCCTTCAGTTCTTTAATTATAGGTTATAGTACTAAAAATGCTCGTGAATATAATCGTAATGTAGGAGAATTAACATAAGGAGATGAGGTTCCTATACAAACAGATATAGCAAATACTGCAATTGAGAATGTTCCAGGAACTTCTCTTGTTATTTATTTGATTTTCTTTTCTTTGGTTATATTATTAGGATCTAAGCATTGGGCTTAATATGGATTCTTTAGAAAATGGGCTGATGTAGACTAAAATCTATAATTTATTGCTGATTCTACAACTGGATGGACAGCTGCACCTTTATCAGGTTTAGAAAAAACAATTGAAAATATGTAAAAAAGTATGCGAAATGTTTTTGATGGAGAATAATAAGACAATTAATAAGATAAATCATTTTTTTATTGAAAAAAATAAATAAATATATATATTATATTATATTTATTTATTTTTTTTACTAAAAAAAAAAAAAAAAACATTATTTTAATTTTTATTTTTTCATAAAAAAATATATATTTAATTTTTTAATAAAAAAACAAAAAAATATGACTGAATAAAGAGAAATAGGGGAAGAAATAAACTCATAAAATGAATTAACAGAAGAAGATGAAGAAAGCGAGCAAGAAAATAAGGAAAACTAAAACGGTAAAGAGAATAAAGTCGAATAAGTGCAAAAGAAAAAGCGAAAAATATAGCTAAAAAGGTTTAAACCGCTTGATTTATAAAATTAATAAATAGGAATTAAATTTTTATATGAAAATATACAAAAAGCGAATATAAATAATAAGAAATACGATGATGCAAAAAATCTAAATAATCTTATTAATTATTATAAAGAATGGCATTTTTATTTTATGCCTAATTATTCATTTGAGTATTTCCTTTAAAGATGTAATAAATTTGGCGCACTTCCTTCAAATAAAGTTTATATGTAAAACGTAAGAAAAATACATAAAGGAGATATGGATTGGAAAGACCTTATTTTAGATAATACAGAAAACGAAAAAAACAATTTAGAAAATACTTAATAATAACAAACTTAAGTAGATAATACTCAAAATAATTAAGATTTGACTTAAAATAATTAATATAATACATAAAATAACACACAGAAAATATAAGAAGAAGAAGAAGAAGATATTGAAAAATAAATATAATTTTATAATTAATAATTAGATGAGCTTAAAAATGAAAGCATTGATGAAGATTACCTAAAATGAAATAAGATTATTAATATATTTTAGAATAAAATTAATTTTTTTATATATAAGAATAAATATATATTTTTTCAAACAAAAAATTTGCGCATTTTTTTATTTATTTTTTTACATTCAAAAAATTTTTTTTTATCAAAAAATTATAATTTTTCTATTTTATTTTATTTTTTTAAAACAAAAAAATAAGAAAAAATTATGTAATAATAATAAAAGGCTTTTAAAGCTATAAAAGGAATACAGAAATCATAAAATTCACTAATCCAATAAGAAATACCACAAAATAACATTAGCTTAGTATTTTAAAATAGGTATTCATATTCACCTATAAAGCCAATAAATAATTAAGCAAAAAAACTATTAACATATACGCCTTAAAGCATAAAACCAAAAAAAATATATACAGATCATACTTTAAGTACAAAAAAGTAGATAAATAATCAAAAGGTAATTTATTTATGATATCTTTATATATATAAAAAGATATTAAATATTTCACAAACACCTTCAAATTAATTTTCTGATAAACAAAAATTAAGTGATAAAGTTGAGACACCTTAATTTTTATAAGATAATAAAGTAAGTATTATTTCTTTAAATTTAATTATGTATTTTTTTTATTTTTTTAGGAAAACATAATTATATAAACAAGTAATTTTGCTTAAAACAATTCCTAAAAATTTTAAAAAGATCACAATTAAAATGATAATTTAATGTCTTTTGGAAATTTTAACTTAATTTTATAAAAGAAAAAGAGCTTTTAAAAATATGAAAATTAATAAATTGAATCAAAAATAGAAAACGTTAAAAAAACAATTGATATTTTAGAATAAAAAATGCTTAATAATAATGTCTTTTAGGCTATTTCTTTACAAAAAGAGACATAAAGATCTAGATCTAGAGAAAATAAATCAAGTTTAAATAATATGTAATATAAAACTAATTTTCCAATACAAAAAATAGTAATTTTTTAAATAGTTAAAAAAAAAAATTAAATTTATTTTATTATTTTGGAAAAAAAAAAAAAAAAAAAAATAGATTTTTATAAAAAAAAAAAATTGAATTTAAAAAAAAAAAATAAAAATATATAGATTTTTTGTTTGTTTAAAAAAAAAAAAAAAAAAACTACAAAAATAAAAAATCAATTCATTATATATATTTTATATATATTTATATAGAAAAAAAAATAATAAATAATAATATTATCTCAACCAACATAATTATGATCTTCCTATATTAATTTAAAAATATAAAAAAATAAAAAATATAAAAATTACATCAGCCTAAGTATTTAATGGAGTATCACTAACTTAAAACTTAGCTCCTTATGTTGTATGATTTTCATATTTTTAGGGATTATGAGGAGGTTTTATTGCAGATTCTACTACTTTTCCTTATAAAGCGTTTCTTAATTCTACTAAATCTAAAGCTTCTCTTTCTACATCTTATTCACTTTATTCTTCATTATTATTATTTTCTTATACTGGAAGATCTTCTTTAGTGAACCTAGTTTATTAAATAATTATTAAAAAAAAAAAAACCTTACAAATTTTCCCCTTATAAATTCCAAGGTCCAATATTTTTAGTAATGCAATCATTACTTTTTCCTCCTAAGAAATTAGGTATATTATCTTAATCGACCTAAAAAGAAAAATATAAATAAAACAAAACAAAAAAAGCATATACAATTTCAAATAATTTATCTTTATATCCACTTCCAATGATAGTTATTTTTTTTCTAGTCTACTCATCAATTTAAGGTTTTATATTATTCCAAATGGCTTCAAAAAGCATAGGAGAGTTCACAATAAGCAATTAACCTAAAACTTCAGGATAATAATCTTATGCAATTTTTATATATTTAGAAACAAATCCATATATTTATTTAGACAGAATATTCATATTGAATCCTTTCATATCTAAAATTACTAATAATTATTTACCTTTAGTATAAGGCAATACTTTCTTCATTAGAGCTTCTAGTTATTATATCTTGTAGTTCAAAAGTCTTTCTTCGGATGTTACTTAAAATAATTAAGATAGTTTTAATAAACCTAATCTTTCAATATATATAGGATTATCCTTTTTTTATATTTATTTATTAAAAATATAAATAGTTTTTTATTTTTTTATACACTTTTGTCTGTATGGTGAAAACCATGTGGATAATAATTTAATACTTCATTTAATTCGTTATATTAAAATTTCTTGTTATTTTTTATTTATATATATAGTTTTTTTATTTTTTACAAGTAAAGAATCAACTTAAGATTTTTATCTCCATTAAAGATATTCACTAATATGCTTTTTGCATACTTCTAAATTATATTTGGATGCTTTTGAAAAGCGAATTAATGTTAATTCATCTATTTCTGTATTAGAATTTTGTTAATCTTTTAAAAATTATTTTAAATTGTGTAGTTCTTTTTAGAAAATTTCTATCTATTAGACACTTAGAATTTTTAATATAAAAATAAATATATTAGTCTTAATTTGAATTATTTTTATTATTTTACTTGACTTGATTATCCATTTTTTATTTATTTTTTTAATAAGATTTTTTTTATTATATTTTTTGAATTATTAAATATGTTATATTTTTATTTTTTTTGTTCTCTAATATTAAAAATATTTAAATTCTTTTTATTTTTTTTATTATATTATACATAATTAGAGAAAAAACAATAAATAAATTTAAAAATTAATAATAAAAAAATATAAATAATAAAATAATTATTTTGTTTAGGTATATATATAATATATATATACATATACATATATATTTATTTGATTTTATTACTTTTTAATTTTAAAAAATAAATAAAAGAAAATATAAAAATATATTAATGAGTGAATATTATAGTAATTACAAAAAAATAGATTTAAATAAAAGCAATTGTGCATCATAAAATAGCAATAGAAAATTAGATAACTCATTTTAAAACTAAAAAGCTATAAAATAAAACTAATTTACATAAAATCAATAAAGCAGATTAGAATAATAAAATATGAATTCTTTTATTTAAAGTTAAAGTAAAAATAAATATAAAAATTAATTTAATTATTTTTTATAATAAAATTATCTTAAAAAAGAAGATATATTTGAAGACTTAGTGCCAATAAAAATAAAGTAAATAGGAAAGCAAGATATTTAAACTTTTTTAAATTTAAAGATATATACTACATAAAAAGGAAATAATTCTAATAATTAAGTACATCGTATAGAGTTAACAGATGAATAAAATTCGTTATAAATATATAAATATTAAAAAAAATATAATTATATTTTTATAAAGATTATTCTTATACTTATTAGATATAACTGAAACCGATTTTATCTAATTAAAAAAAGAATAAAATATGAAGGCAGACAAAGACTTTAACTCATTTCCTTAAACTTTAGTAGACTTAGTAAATTAATGCTCTAATGAAGAATATGAAAATGAGAAACATTAATATTAGTAAAAAATACATAATAATATTAAATAAAATATTTAAATAAAACATAGATATTAATGTTAATTAGATGTAAAGAATATGTCTGACGCAGACTTTAATATTATACAATAAAATAGTTTTAATACTTTAAATACTTTATAATTAAAACTTAGATAAGCTAATGATGATGCTTTAAAAAGTTTTATTTCTAAAAAGCTTTAGCTTTCAAAAGTCGAAAATGAATAATTAAGAATTTAAAATAGTAGATTGGAAGAATGTAAAAAAAAATAAAAAAAAAAAATTTTTTTTTTTTTTTAAAAAAAAAAAAAGAACTAAGTTAAACTTAAATGGATTTCGGAATTGCAAACGAAGAATTACATAGGATTTAAGAAGATAATAAGAAACATATTTAGTAAGTATAATTGGAAGAACAAAGAAATTTAAACTTAGCAAAGGAATAATATTTAAATAAGGAAGAGTAATTAAGAAGAATGCATGAATCTTAAAAAGTTGAACTAGAATAAGTAAGAATTTTTTTATTTTTTGTTAATACTATTTAAAAACTAATACTAATTTATTCAGAAATACTAGAAAGAATTAAATTTTTGTAAGAAAAGTTTTAATAAAAATCATAAAAATTTGAATAAATGAGTCAAAGAGTTTTAGAACTAGAAGCGTTTTTATAAGAATATTAAAATAAATGTACACTTTTGGAAAAAGAATAGAAAATGAACACAAAGGAAATACAAGAAACAAGAACTTAAAATATATAATTGAGCGAAATGAGGTTTTAATAAGAAAAGAAAATTACAGAATTAACATATCAAAAAGAAGCATATTTAAAATAAATAGAAGACAAAGAATAAATGATAAACTCAAATAAAGAATTAGTTGATAATTTTAACTCTTAAAAAGTAAAATAACAAAAAAATATATTCTTATTATCATAATAATAAAAAGGAAATGTTAAAATAATAATGTGAAGAATATAGAAATCAAATTTCAAAATTAGAAAAAAATTAGAATTATGTGGTGAAGAAATAAACAAAGGAAATAATATAATTGAAAAACTATAAGAAGATTTAACAAAATTCAAAACAAAAATTAAATAAAAAAATCAAATGGTTATTTAATAAGAATAAGAATTAAATGAAGTAAGATAAAAACAAGATGATATTAATAATGAATTAGCAAAAAGTATATATTTATTTATTTTTTTAAATAAAAAGCAATATATTTTATATAAATTTATTACAAAAAAGAAAATAGAGAAATTAATAATCTAGAATTTAAAGTTAAAGAGTTAGAATTACATAATTAAGACTTAAAAGAAAAATAACTGAAAGTCAAAAAGTTATAGAAAATAATTAAACAAGTAAAATAATATATATTTATTTTCTCATATATATATACATATCTTTTTTTTTATTTAAAAGTGATTTAATATCTTAATAAGTAAATTAATGAAGGAACAAATAAAAATACATTTGCGGGTACAACCACATTAAAATCTCATACTAATTACTCTAATAATGTATTAAATATTTATTAAAAGTCATTTTTTTTTGTATTTATATAAAAATTAAAAGAAATATACATAAAATAATAATAATTATACAAATAGCTTTTCAAATAAATATCCTTATCTTAGTAAATAGTTTAATAATTCAGGTGCAAATTATAATAATAAATAGAATATAAGCTAATATAATAATGATAGTTAAAGCTAAATATCTCCTATGAGAAAAAACGAGCCTTTAATTTAAAATAATTACGAAAATTATTTAAATTAGAAAAACTAAAATAATGTATTTGTTATATTAAAAAAAAACAACAAAATGAAAAATTAATTTTTTTTTTTTTTAAAAAAAAATAGAATTACAATGAAGAAAGAGAATTTAATTCTAAATATTTATTTAATAGTAATTTTAATAACAATAATATTTAAGCATAAAAATAAAACGATGAAGAAGAAAATATAGAAAAACCCAAATCAATAACTCCTATTAAATTCAAGCATCCAAAACAACAAAATTGAAAATGAAATATATATAATTTTATATACAAAAAATATATATTTTTATAATTTAAATATAAAATTAAGTATAATAATAAAATATTGTATTTTATTTATTTCTTTTGGCTGAAAAAAATAAAAAAAAATATTCGAATTTCATAAAAACTAAATGTTTAAAATTAAAAAATTTATTAAATATGAAAAATAATAAATTATTAAATATAAAAATTTGTCAATATATGCTTATATAACATTAATATTAATATTCTAAAATTATATTATATTTAAAAATTCCAATTAAATATTTAATTAATTAAATTTTAGAAAATTAGCAAGCAAATATTTTAAATGTTATTTAAGTTTATAACTTTTTAATATTCATTTATAAAAATAAAACTCTCTAGAAAAAAAACATTCAAATAATAATATATGGTTTTAGACATAAGAATAAAAAAGTTTGTAAATATTAAAATTTAAAATATATATATATATATAAATAAAATAAAATAATATATACATATATCATATATTAAGATATATTATTAAATTATAAAAATAAAAAAAAAAATTAATTTTTTTTATTTATACAATTATTATAATTTTTTCTTGCATTTATTTAATTTTAAAAAAGAATTTGTAAAAAAATCTATATTATAATTTTTTAACTATATTTATATATTGAAAATATTCAGCTATTTATCATATATATTTCATAAAATAAGTCTTTTTTTAAATATTTTAAAAATAAATAGTTTATTTAAACAATTTCCATTATGTTTTAATTTATCATTTATAAAATATATACGAAAAAAAATATTAATTAAATATAGATGAGTATAAAAAATATTAAAATTAAATAAAAATAATAATTAAAATTAATATATATAAATAAAATATATATTATTAATATTATTATTCTATTATATATATTATTAATTATATATATAATATAATTATAATATATGATTATTAATAATAACATTTGTTAAAATTAAAAATACAAATATAATGTGATATTGATTATATATCTATAAAAATTAATTTTGATTTTTAAATAATTATTTAATTAAAAATATATTTTTTAATTTAAAACAAAAATTTAAATATGTGTTCATAATAAAACTAAATATTTAATAATAAATCAAAGTAAATTAAAAAAATATATATAAATAAAATAAAATATTAAAATATAAATTATATTACGAAAAATTAATATAATATATATAAATTATAATTATTAATATCTATTTTTTATTAATTTTGATATTATTTTAAAATTTTATTTAAAAAAATTATTATTTATTAAGATATTATGTGTTTTTTTAGATAATAATATATAATTTAATAAATTTCAATCATTTTTCAAGAAAATATTATTTATATTATTTAATAACATTTAATTAGTCTTAAATTTTAATTTACTTAAATAGTTATTATAAAAAATATAATGAAATAAGATAAGCAAAAAATAATTATTAATAATGTTATAAATTTAAAGTGTAATTTCGTATAATAATGTATTTTTTTTTTCTTCTATAAATTAAAGAATTTACAATAATTAATTAATTTAATAAAGAACAAAATTAAAAAGATAACTAATTAATTATAAAATTTATTTAATTAAATTTTAAATATTGAAAATTTTTTTAATTAATAAGTAATTTATTTAAAGCAATTTTGTTTAGAACTCTTATAAAAAAATATTATGAAAGTGGAAATAAAAACGAATTCGATTTATTCTTATATTGGAAGTATATGTTTCCAATATTTTATTTAATTAAATAAAAAACTAAAAAACTTAAAAATAATTTTTACATTTATAATAATTATATATTAAATATCTTATATTAAATTATACATTTAATATATAAATTATCTTATAAAATATATTTTAATTTTAATATAAAACTATTTATTAAATTTATTAATATCCTTAATTGACTTTATTTAATATTTTTAAAAAAAATTTTTTTTTAATTAAAATAATAAATAGGATCAACAAAATGATATAAACCAAGTCTAATATAGAATAATAATAAATAAAAGATTTAAGTATAAGGAGGTAAACAATATATCAAAATATTTTTTATTTTTTCAATATAAAAATATTTTCAAAAAATATTAAAAAAATTAATTAATGTCAATTAAGTTTATTTCAATTTAATTTTAGTTTATATAAAAATCTATAATCTATTTAACTTCATAAGTTTTTATAATTTAAATATTTAATAATTCTTTAAAAACTTCATTTTAATTATATATAATCCTAACATTAGATTAATAATAGATTATAAAAATATTGAAAACAACAAAAAATAATATAGACTTAATAAACAGATTTTTTTTGAATTAATTAACTAATCTCTAAATATTATTTAAATTATGTATTTTTTTATTACGAATTTAAAATATAGAAAATAATATAATAATATTTGATTAAAAAATGATTTATATATATTTTAAATATAAATAAATAAATAAAAATTATATATATTTTAATTATTAAATATAATAATTTTTTAAATATCCTAAATAAATAAATATAATAGTATTAAAGTTTTTAATCAAAAAAATAAATATTTATTTAATATACCTACCACCTGAAATTAAAAACAAATAAAAAACCTAAAAAATAACAAATTTAAACATATTTTAACTTATTTTATGACTTAAAAAAGAAAAATAATCATTTTAATTAATAAATATTAGCCAAATAATTCTATACAATTTTCGATGTATTTTTTCTTAACATTTGAGATTTTCTAAGAGCAATTTCTTGAATGAAAGGTTAAGATTAAATAAGTAAAAGATCAGTTAAACTAAATTTTTCTTAATACTAATATTCCTTTTATAGATTATTTATAAAAACTAAATATTAATTTTTTAGATCTTTATTTTCTTCTATTTCAGTCTCGTTTTTCAATAGCATATCAATTAAAAAAAAGAACTCGCTTTTGAGCAAAAACGACTTCTTGTATTAATCAAATAAGCAAAAAAATATTTCTAATTTTTCAGTTATATCTCCTCGTGTCAAAATACTTAGACAACATAAAAATTCTCTAAAATCAAGAACATTACCTTCAATATCTATAAAAATATTGAAGATTTCAGTTAATAAATCATTATCAAATTTGAATTTTTCAGTATGAAGCGAGAAATTTTACATAAAATAAATAAATTCGGCTTAATTAATTCCCTTCTTTTTTTCAACTTGATTATTTTTTTCGTTTTTATATTTCTGATCAAGAAGTAATATGAATTAGCTTTATATATCTTTAATTTCATTAATTGAAAACTTTGTTATTTTTCTTAACTAATGGTGTATAATAGAACTTTCGGAATTCCATTTTTCACTAAAATCAATATAAAATTATTTCATAATATCATTTCTTTTATTTTCATCAATTTAAAAGTTCATATGAATTTTAAGAATATCATATGTAGTATTTTAAAAAATCAAATCATTAATATTTTAATTAAGAAATGAGTTAAAAATTATTACTTTATTTATTTTAAGGATTGAAATTAAGCATTTTTCAACTGCTATAAATGAATTATTAATAAAGATTTAATCCCAGACATGAAAAAGACAGGTAATATTTAAAATATTTACTAGAAGTGTTAATAAATAACTAGGGCATTATAATTCTAAAAATTTTTCCAAAATTTCCCTTTCTTCCTCATTTTAAAAATGATCTTTTAACATTTATTTTAATACATGACATTCAGCCATAAAACCAATTAAACCACATCCTTTTCCGTTTTTTTGGAAATATTTTTATGGTAATATATTTTCAATTAAATGACAATATAAATCAAATACTACTTCTTCTGTTGTAAAACATAATAATACTACTGCTAAGTAATTCATACCTTGGCAATAACCCAAATATGGATATTTTACTGCTAATGCAATTAAAACATTTTTTATTGATTCTCTACATTCTTCTACAGTATATAAGCTTTATATTTTTTCTATAAATTATCGAGTTGAATAATTAAACACTTAAGAGTCACTTCTTCCCTATTATTTATGAATTTTATAATTTTTTTTGTTTAATATATTTTCTTATTACTGAGTCTACATCATTTTAAAGCATTAAAATTTCTTCAATATATATTTCTTTTTTTTAATTAAACTATTTTAAATAATCATAATAACTAAATTCTTAGTCTTAATTTAATTAGGATTAGGATAGTCTTCTTTTTTTTTTTAATATATATATATATATATATATATTTTGCTTTACTTTTTATTTGATTTAAATAAGTTCATTGAATTTCTCCATTTTTCGGAAATTTAACTATTTTAATTCCATTATAATTCATTCTTTTTTTTAAAAAAAATAAAATAAATAATTATTTCATATATTTAATTTTTAATACTCTATTTATTATTTTATCTTATATTTCGTATTCCCTGAAACAAAAATCACAAATCCTATGAGGAATGTTTTTGCCTTTTTTTTCATAATAAGGAAGCTTTTTTAAAAATATTATAAGTTTATTTAGGGTATAATTAAACATATTTATGTATTTTGTACTATTATTTTATTTTTGCTACAATTTTAACAAACAAATCTATAACATCTTTTGCATTTATGAATTCTTTGAAAATATCTAAGTCATTTATTTTTTAATATTTTATTTAAAAAGTCATTATTTTTACAATATGCTTAAACTTTTTTCACATATTTAGCAATTATCTGCATTATAACCTTTATTTATAGTAATGTTAATTAAATTTTTGAACATATTTTTTTAATAATATTATTTCTAAGATTTTTTTAAAGTAAATATAGTATAGAATAATTCAAAAAAAATATAAAAAAATAAATTTATATTACATTAAAAAAAAAATAAAAAAAAATATTAATTTTAATTGAAAAAAAAAAAAAAAAAAAAATATCTTTATTTCAGTGTTATATTTAAAAAAATGGCTTTTTTTAAAAAAAACATTATAATCATATTCCTAAGATTTTTAGCTTATTTTTTATTTATTAGGCTTATTTAATTTATTCTAAACAAAATAAATAAAAAATAGTAAATAAAAATAAATAAAAAAACCTTTATTATCTACTTTTCTTTCATCCTCTTCTTATTCTTATATTTATTCATTCATTTTACTAATATTTTTATTTCCGAAAGTAATTTTTGGTGAAAAAAGGCTGGCTTTAGCAGCTTAGGAGCATTTTTCCATTGTTTTAATTTATCTTTAATCAATTTAGATACTAGGAGAATTAAATCCCCCTTCATTAGAAACCTAATCAGTTCGCCCTGTTAAAACTGGAGTATTTGGCATTTTGAAAGGTCCTTATTCATCTTTAACTATTTTTTTACCTTTAGTGGGTATAATTTAAGGAGAAGGCATAGGAGAATTAGCAATTTACATTTTTTATCTAATACTATTTAAAAATTTGAAAAACGTAAGAAAATGCCAAAAAAAAAAAAAAAAAAAAAAAAAAACTCAAGTTTATTAATTTTATCTTATTCTGTTAAATTCTCACCCTCTTATGACTCTTATTTTCCTTCTTAGAAAAAGGGATGTTATAAAGCTTTTTTAGCTGTAATTCTTTTTTTCGGATCATTTATTAACATTTTTTTTAATAAATCATATGCTACATATTTTTTTTGTTTAAATAAATAAAGCATTTAAAAAATATATAAAAACCTTCTAAAGGCAATTTTAGATATCCAGTGCCTTCTAAAATGATATTTGAGGCTCTATTTTAAGCAAGAATTTCTTCATAAGTTTTTCCATTAAAAGGCGATTTTCCAACAAGTCTAATTTTTCAAAAATAGCATTTATTATAATATATTTTATTTATATTTTACAAAATATGGAAAATTAATCCTAAAGAAAATAAATCACATACCGAATCATATTTTAAATCAAAATCAGTAATATTAATAACCTCAGGAGCTACAAAACCAGGAGTACCGCATCTAACAAACATAAATTTATTAACATCAGTTCTAGTTCCTAAACCTAAATCAGCAATAACTAAATCTATTGAAGAATTGTTTTTGAAAATCAAATTTTCCGGCTTTAAATCTCTATGCATTATATTTTTAGAATGCATATAAGCTAATCCTTCTAATAAGCCTTTTATCATATATCTAGTTTCATCAATTGTAAATCTTTTTTTGTTATTATTATTAAAAATAAGCAATAAATATATATGAAATATATACTTGTGTTTGGCTTTCATCTTATCATACAATTAACCCCCTTCAAGTAAATCTAAAATCAAATAAAGTGAGTTTTCTGTTTCATAAACTTCATATAATCTAATAATATTAGAATGATTTAATGTTCTCATTAATTCGATTTCATTTATTAAAGATTCCTTTTGTTTAATAAATAAATAAATAAAATATTATTTATAAAAACTTTCCCGTTTCTTATGAATAAGCAGCTTCTTTTGAAAAAGCTTTCACTGCAAAACTTTTATTGTCTTCAAGTCTTTCTGCTAAATATACCTAAAAATTAAAATAAACAAAAAAATATTAAATTTATTAATCTTATAAATTATATTACACTTGCGAAATTTCCTTTTCCTATTTTTTTAATTGCTTTGTATTGTTCATGGAATCCTCTTTAATTTATCTTTTCTCTTAATATATCTCGCCATTTTAAAATAAAGTTTTCATCATTTGAAGCTAATTCCGTTTTTTAATTTGCTTTATCTAAAATTATTCCTTTAGGATGTCCAAGAGCATTGTTTTCTTTTTTTTCCTTACTTCTTACTATTTCAAAATTCAAATCAAAATCAATTACACAATATCCTTTAGCAATATCTGTATTCTTTTCCTTATTTTTAATTTCAAAAATTATTATTTTAATTATAGAAAATATTATTTTTTTACATCAAAATAATAAATAAAAGAATTATAAACTCTAAAAAACCTCCTTGCATTTGTAAAATTTCCTTTTTTTGTAAAATATCCATCAATTAATACTGGTTCATTTGGAAGTGGTGCCCCTTTATTTACTTTAATCCAAAAACATTTCGAACTCATTTTTTTTTTTATTATTATTATTTTTAGAATAGATTTAATATTTATATAAAATAAAAAATAGATTTAAGGCTATTAATTGTAAACTAAAATAAAATATATATTAAAATTAGTTCAGTATATATTTTTATTCATGAATTATAATAATATTTTTATATTAAATTAATACACAGATTATAAAATAATATACTTTTAAATTAAAATCTTTTATATTTTAACAAAATAAAATAAAAATATATTTATAAAATAAATTGTATATATATATTATTATATCAAATCATAAATTTATATTAATATATAAAAAAAAAATATAATATATAATTTAATAGAAAATATTTATATTTTAATAAAATATTATATATATATAATATAAATATATATATATATATATTTATATATATATATTTTATTTTATAATACAAATATAATAATTTTATATATATATTATATATTAAATAATTTATAAATATATATTAAATATTAATTATATAAATAACTTTTTATTATATTTTCTTAATATTAATTTAAACTTTATTAAAATATATATTTTTGTTTTCAAATAAAAAAACTAAAATTACTCTTTAATTTATAAATGTAAAATTATTGAATTTAATATCTTAAATTATTTCTTTATAATTAAAATTTTATTCAAAATTTAATTTTAATTTGTAATTAATGTCTTTTCAGTCTAGTAATATTTGTACAAAGTGATATTTATTTTCAACTATAAAATTAATTAATTAATTAATTATATTGATATTATTTATTTTTATTTATAATTTATCTAAAATCGAATATTATTTTATTATATAAGAATTGTTAATTTATATAATAAATCTATGTTAAAACATTTGTTTAAAAATATATATTTATATGTATTAAACAATTTATACATATAATATATAAATAACAATATGATTTATCCAATTTCAGAATCCATATTTCTACATAAATCAAGAATTTAAGTCTTAAATATTTTTTATTTAGCTATTTTAAATTTTCAAATTTTATTTTTTTGTCTATAACCATTATTATTGTACAATATGATTTAAGTATAGAGAAAATGAGAAATGAATAAGCCTTTCAAACTTGTTTTTTCTATTCATTCAAGCGTATTTTTAGATAAATAAGGTTCAAAGCCTACATTTCTTTCTCCCAAATATCTAATCTTAAAATGAAGCTAATTTTGCTTTAACCATTTAATATTCTTATTAGAATTTTAAATTATATTATAAAATAAAAATTGTTCTTTTACGAATTCAACTTCACAATTATAATATTTTTCGATATTAGATTTTATTTTTATTTTTGTGTGTTTTTTTTTAATAGTAAAATTTTTAATTTATTTAAGTATATGTATTTTATAAAGGTTATCAATCTTTTTTAATGATGTTAATTTTCTAAATGTTTAGTGATTCATATTTATTACATAGCAATTTCCGATTTTATTGATTTACATATAAAAATATTAATGGATTCGTTGGTAATACATAGACAAAATATTAATATGCTGATTTCTCAAAAAAGAATATATTAACTACTATTTTTTAATGAAACATACCAAACATTTTTAATGCCTATTATTTTTATTGAAAAATTATTTAACTAAATTATATGAAATTATATAATTATATTTTATTTTACATATGAAAATCTCAAAACATGATAAAAATATTTAAATATGAATTGATTTTGTTAAAATTAAAATATAATATAATTTAATAAAAAAAATCAAAAAATCAATAAATTAAGGAAACATTAATCAATAAATATTAATAAGATAATAAAAATATAAAAAAATATGAATAAATATTTTATATTTTTTAAAAGCTATTATTAAATAATTTTTAAATAATATATTATGATTTAATATTTTAGAATTTCTACCAAAGGAAAAAATAAAAAAATATAAAATAAATAAAATAAAATAAAATAAAATTATATTTATCATTATATATATATATATATATTTTTAAATATAATTTAAATTAAATATAAAAAATCTTTTTAATTAAATATTTTTAAGTTTATATTATTATATTTTTTAAAAAAATAATATGTTTTGTTAAAATTAATAAATAATAAATATTTTTAAAAATTTTAATTTAATGAAATAATATTAATAAAAAAAAAAAAAGAATTAATATTTGAAATATATTAAATTTTATAATATAATTTTTTAATAATAGATTTTTTTTTCAAAATGATTATGAATACAATAATAATATTTTAAATATTATATTAATTTAATATTTGTTAATTTAAGTTATTGGATATAAATAAAAGCTGATTAAAAATATAAATTTATTTATATTTTTTTTTTTTTACATTTTAAATTGATACAAAAATAAAAATATTAATTAAAAAAGTAAAAAATTACTTAAATCAATTTACTTATTTTATTAAACAAAAAATAATATTTTTTTTTTAAAAAAAACATAATTATAATCAATTATTTTTATTAAATTATATATTATATAGAAAATTGTCAAAAAATGAAAAAAATCTAAAAAAATCCTATATATTAATAATATTGCCAAGATTATTTAAATTATTTGAATGAATAGGATTAGAAATCAGAATAAGAAAAAAAAAAGTCCCCCATTTCCATAAACTCATTTTATTTACTCAGTATAATTGGAAAAGGATCATATGCCAAAGTATCTTTAGTCCGAAAAAAAGATGACAATTAAATATATGCTTTAAAAGCTATAAAAAAATCTCTTATTGAAGCAAAAAATTAAAGGGAACATGTAATAGCTGAAAGAAATATACTCGTAAAAAACAAAACAAAAAATATTATTTTTTTACTGATTAAAAAAAAAAAAAAAAAAGTAATAAGTTGATAATTAATATATAATAAAAATGAAATACGCATTTTAAGATAAAAAAAAGCTTTTTTTTGCTCTTGAATTTTGTCCTGGAGGAGAACTATATACTTTGCTATCCACAAAAAAACATTTAAATGAGCAATAGTAAAATCTATAAAATATAATATATAAAAAAATATAAAAAAGAACTAAATTCTACGCTGCTCAAATGGTAAAAGCCCTTTAATATTTACATAGTAGAAATATTATATATAGAGATTTGAAACCTGAAAATATACTCATAGATAAAGATGGTTATATAAAGTTAACGGATTTTGGATTATCTAAAATGAATGTTACGGACTAGCAAACTGCTACTTCCTTATGTGGAACTCCTGAATATTTAGCACCAGAAATATTAAATAGATAAGGACATGGCAAACCTGCAGATTGGTGGACTTTAGGAAATATCATCTATGAAATGATAACAAGTTTACCTCCTTTTTATCATTCAAATAGGAATATTTTATTTAAAAATATAAGAGAAATGTAACCTTAACCCCATGAAAGAATTCAAGGTAATTTAAAAAACCTTTTGACTGGTTTACTTGAAAAAAATTCTAATAAAAGACTTGGTACTATTGATGGAGCTAAATAAATTATCGATCATCCATGGTTTGCTGATTTAAGATGGGATTTGTTAGAAAAAAGATAAATTGTACCTCCTTTTATTCCCAAGTTAGATAGTGAAATAGATATTAGATATATTGACTCAGAGTTTAAAGATTTACCTTTATATTCACCTACTGAAGAAAATGCATATTCTGTAGAATAATATACAAGTATTTTTTTAATATAAATGTTTATTTATTGAATTTTATATATTTAGAATTTACTGTTGATTCGCCTAAATAAAATATAATTAATAGTATGAATAGTGAAAAAATATATGATTCTAGTCATAATGAAACTAACAAAATAGAAAATTCTGAGTTTTTGTATATTATGGATGAAAAAATGGATGAAGAAAAAGACGATGTTTGTGATTTCAAAATGATTTAATGATAAATCTAATTAAACAAAATTAAAAAAAAATTAAAAAAAAAAATTTATAAAAATATTTTATATAAATATATATAATATTATTTAATAGAATATATTTTATATATATACATAAATTATAAATAAGACAATTTTTTAAAAAAACTTGATCATATATTATAAAAACTTAATTTTACATCTAATTATAAACAATTCTTATTAATATTAAATTTTAAAATATTTCAAGTAAAATGCATAAAATATAAATACTTTAAAAAACAATTAAAATAATAAAGATATTAAAAGTAACAAAAAAAATCTTAATTTAATAATAAAATCAATATATAATTAACTTTTTTTTTAAAAAAAAATAAATAAATAGATTTTAAATTATAATATTTAATTAAATTAGTATTTTTAAATATATAATTATAAATATTATACTAAAATCTCTTGAATAAAATTTCATCCAAAAAAAAATAAATATATTCAGCTTTTTTAAGTGAAAAAGAAAAAACATAATATTATATATTATATATTATATATAATATATATATATATTTATATATATTTGTTTTATATTATATATATATATATATAGAGAATTTTTTATATACCGCCATTTCATCTTAAAAGAGAATACTCTTTATTTTTTTTTTATTTAAATTATATTTAATATCCAATAAAATAAAAATTTTTTAAGGGAGGATTATTTTCACATATTGCGTTATTACATAAAAAAAAATTTTTATATATATTATTTAAAACATTATAATAAAAAATAATATAATTATAAATTTAAAATATTTAAATATTAATACTTTTTTTAATTAACTAATGTATACATCTATTTAAACTTAATCTAGTTTTTTGCCAGAAGAAAATTTAATAGATCTTCGTTAAGGTTAAGAAAAAATAAAAGATAAATTTATAAAAGCATTAATCCAAACACAAAATAATTAAAAAGAATATACAGTATCAATAAATTAAAGTAGTTAACATTCAAAATAAGTCGAAACAAACGAAAGTAAAGAAACTTCAAGCAATAAGTCATCACTAGAATCAGAAATAAGTTAAAAAAATAAGAGTTAGCACCAAAAATAGAATGAATAAGAAAATAATATTATCAAAAAGCCAACAATATACCATTTATTTTAAATGTCTGAAATAAAAAATTCTCCTCGTTATATATAAAACCAAAAAATAAAAAATTCAACAATTAATACTACAAAAGGACTTTCTATTAGTAAAGTTCTAACACAAGAATTCTATTAAAAAAATTTGCCTAAATTTAAAGTAGGGAGTGTTTAAAATAAATAGGTTTGGACACGAAAAGTCTTTTATGTGATTATGTGGATTAATAAAATAATATATTAACTTAAAAAAGTACTTATTTTCTCATCACCTGAAAAACTAAACTAACTATAACTTACACTTATTAATGATAAAGGTTCCAAAAATATTGGCAAAGGATGGGGAATACCCATTAATTAGTTAAAACAGCAAATAAACAAATAAATTAAATAAAAATAAGTATTTGGATAATTTTTTAAATCTATAAAAAATATTTAGAAATTTTTAAAAAAGAGATTTTCCCTTTTAATTTTTATTTTTTCAAAAATTCATAAACTTTTCTCCAAAATAAATAACATTTTACCTGTTTTTGACCCCCAGTCTAATTTTTATCTTATTTGGGAATTCATAATATTTATATTTACAGTGGCTAACTTTATTTATATTCCTTTCGATTTTTCTTTTAGGACGATTTCCGAATAAGCAAATAATTTTTACTTTTAGAAAATTTGCCCAGTTGTATTTTTTACTGATATTGTGATCCGAATGAATACTTCATATTTTTAAAGAGGATATTAAATTGAAGATAGATAAAAAATTATTAAATAATATATTTTTGGATAGTTTTTCATAGATTTTTTGTCTACATTAAGTCTTTTTTTCGAAAATAATACTGAAAAGTAATTTTATCTTTTTTTTTTTATTAGAATATTTGATTTTACGCGAATAATAGATAAAATAAATGAATAGATTATGTTAGATATTAAACTTTAAGCGATTTTTTCGTTATTAATTTTATTTTGTCAACTTATATTTTACTGTCATATTTTCTCGTGCTTATGGCATCTATTAGGCAAATACCAATATTAAAATTCTAACAAAGGCTGGCTTGTAAAATACTAATTAGTAAACGAAAGTCCATTTACTTTATACATAAATAGTTATTATTTTTGCGCCGTGGTTATGTCTACTATTGGTTTTGGAGATATAACGCCTTAAACAGATTTCGAAAAGCTTTTTTTTACTTTAATGTCTTATTTGGCTTCTGGAGTTTTCGGATATTCATTGAATTGTATTGGAGGAATTCTTATCGATTTAAAAAAATAAAAGGAGCTTTATTTATAGAAACTTGCTGAAATAAATTAATATATGTTAAAACATGATGTAGATATAAATTTAAGAAGTAAAATAAGAAAATATTTAGAATATTTAAATAAAAATGAAGGAATGGAAGAAAAATAAAGTTTTTCATTTTTAAATTATTTATCTAAATTTCTAAAAGAAGAACTTCTTAAAGATGTTTACCTTAGAGGAATTTAAAATATTCATATTATTCATAATTCTTTTTCTATTACTTTCCAAGAGAGGTTAGCTCTAAAAATGAAAGAAACCACTTTTGGTTCTGAAGAAATTATTCTTTAAAAAGACAATTTCGAAGTTCCTAAAATATTCCTTATAATTAAAGGACAAGTAGAATTATCTTTAGAACTTAAAAACGGTGTTTAAAAAACTTTCCTTAAATTAAAAGATCATTAAGTTTTTGGAATTCCTGAATTTTTCTCAAATAATTACGAAACATAGTTTACAGCTAAAAGTATAGGCCTTTCTCAAATTTAATATATATAATTAGATGACTTTTAAGATTTATTAAAAGATTTTCCGGAGTAAAGGCAAATTTATTAACATATAAAAGATTAAATAATGCTTTACAAAAAATATTCAATTCTTCCTCAATGTTGTTTATCTTGTTAAAATAATAATCATTTAATTCAGTAATGTCCATTTCTTTTTTATGATATGTAGAAAGATAAAATAGTACGTAAATATACTTAATAAGTATTAAAAATAATAAAATAATACAAACGTCCTTAATAAAGATAGAAAATAAATATTTTGAAATTTATAAATTAAATAAAGTTATAAATAGAGTAATTTAGGTAATTAATAACGCTTTCTTCTTCAGAAAATACAGATAGCTAAAGTTTTGAAGATTAATAAAATTCATTAACATAAAATTCTAATATGAATTCAAACATAATATGTATAAATAATAATTCAGATTTGACATTTAAATAAACAGATATTATTTAATAATTCTCTGATTTTGGATTTGATTCATAAAGTAATAATATATCTTCATAAAATAATATTCCAATAATACCTTCTAAATTAATAAGAAATTAAAAAAGATAAAAAACTATATAAAATGAAAATTAAATAATAAATACATAAAGTGATATTAATAATCAAATATAATAATTATAAAAAAACTCAGAAATACAAAATATTATTGATGAAAAACAAAAAAGAAATAGCACAAAAAAACAGTCATCTTTATAAGAATTAATGATAGAAACTAATAATAATAATTAATAATAATAATAATAATAATAATAATAATAATAATGATTTTATTAATTATTTTAATAAAGATGAAAGAAGCAATAGTATCGAAGTTTGCTAAGAACTTAAAATAAATTATAAAGATTATGTTAATTAAAAGGCTCTTTTAAATCATATTTATAATTAAAATAATTTATAAAATTAACATAATAAGTCATATTTTATAGAAGATAAAGTTTATAATTTTGATATTTATTTTCCTCATAATAATATTAAAAATATTATTGATGATTTTGAAGCTTTTTAAAAAAAAAATCGATAAAAAGTAATAAAACTTAAAAGAAAAGCATTCAATTATTCTAATTAACATGAGTTTTTACTTAATTTAAATTTTAATGAAGACAATTTTAAATCTAATGAAAATTAAAAAAATAAGAAAAAAAATATATAATAAAAATAGAATATAAAAAAATAATAAAAAGTGTGAATATATAATTAATTATATAAAAAAAAATTTAAATATTATTTTAATATATTGCAAATAAAACAATTTTCTTATATAATATAATATTTAAATTTTAATAAAAAAATTAAATAGGATTTATATAATTAATTATCAAGTAAATATATTCTCATTTTTTTAAATAATATTTATGGGCAAATAAGATCTAAAATTATCATCATGAAAAAAATCTGCAGACTAATTAAGATTTTTGTGAATATTATTTCTAAGATAATATAAGTTCTGTTATTTTAATTACTTTTAATATGATTATAATTATTATTATTATTATTATTATTATTATTATTATTATTATTATTATTATTATTATTATATATGATTCATATTAATTTTATTTTAATTATCATTTTTTTATTATTAGTTTTTATTATATTATTATAAACAATATTATAAGTTATCATTTTTATTATTATTACAGTATTAATTTTTTTAAATATTTTATAAAGTAATATTCTAATTTTATAAACTGAAACTACTTTATTTATTTTTATTGATATTGCTGCATATATTTAATAACTATTATTATTATGAATGTTACTATTAAATATTTATATTTGAAATTTTTAATGGTTATTATATTTAAAATTATTATTTTTAATAGTTAAATTAAGGAATATTTCTTTAATTATTTTCCACTTTTTGTACTTAATTATCTTCTTATTAAAAATAAGTATTATTTAAGCCAAAAAGCATTTTATTAAACGCTTCTTTCATTTAATTTTCAATCTTTTTACATTCAGAATTCCATTAATCATTAATAAAATCAATATATCTGATTTAATTTTTAACAGTCTAAGCATTTTCTTTAAT